TTGGTTGATTGATTGATCAGGGTTTTTTTATTTATTTATAACTTTCATAGACTACCTCAGTTTCCAGTCCATGTAGCCAGGGTTTGTGGAAACTGTACAGGTGTCCCAAAGCTGCTTTAGTATCCATAAAGGAACTGGATTTTCTTTTCTTTTCTTTTTTTTTTTTCTTGAAAACATTTTGCTTCTTGTCCAAGAAGAGCTGAAGAAGCTTCTTGGAGAAGCAAAATGTTTTCAAAGAAAAAAATAAGAATGTCCAGTTGCCTTTTTTTGGGGGGGGGAGGAAACTCCTTTGGGATAACCATGACTTGGATGATTGAGAACTTCCATAGAAATTGTAACACAAGGGTCCCCAACCTATGGGCCGTGGCCTGGTACCGGGCTCTTGGCCAGCAGCCGTAGAAATAGCTAGCTGGTGCACGCACACGTGGACGCACATTCCCCCCACTTGCACTAGTGCCTGCAGCCCCATTTGCGCACGCATGTGGGTGCAAACAGGAACGCTAGTGCAAGGCAGGTGTCCGTGGCCCGTTTGCTAATGTGCAAATGGGGCCACTAGCCACCGCGTGGGTGTGCAGCCATTCACACATGCGCAAACGGGGCTGCGACTTAAAACCACTCATTTAGCAACCATTCGACGTGACAACAGCACTGAAAAAAGTGACTTATGACTGGTTTTCTCGCATTTACAACCCTCACGGCATCCGCACGACCCCATGTTTGAAATTTGAATGCTTGGGGTATATTCATGACAGTTGCCGTGTTCTGGGGTCATGTGATCGCCGCTGTAATCTTCCTAGCCCGCTTCCAGCAGAGTCCGTGGGGAAAACCAGATTCACTTAATGCAGTGGTTCTCAACCTTTTTAATGCTGCGACCCCCCAACCGGTCGTAAGTCGAGGACTACTCAACCGGTCGTAAGTCGAGGACTACTCAACCGGTCGTAAGTCGAGGACTACTCAACCGGTCGTAAGTCGAGGACTACTCAACTGGTGCAGCACCGTTTGCAGAATGGGAATTTTGGCGGGCTCAGCAGGGCAGAGACAGCCTGGACAATTCCTATTGGCTTTCCAAAAGCCAATAGAATAAAAGGGAGTAGCACAGCTAAGGAAAAGGGGGGAAAAATGGTGGACTGCGTTGTTTGGCGACCCCCGTGAAATGGTCGTTCGACCCCAAATGGGGTCCTGACCCACAGGTTGAGAACCACTGACTTAATGCCTGCTTGGTTCATTTAACAGCTGGAATGATGCCCTTAACAGCTGCAGCAAAAATGAGGTGGTTAAAATTGGGCCCAGCTCACTTGATGACCTCTTTGCTTAGCAGTGGAAATTTTGGTCCCAGGTGTGATCGTAAGTTGAGGACTACCTGTAATTTCAAGCAGTTCCAAACCTAAAGCTGACTTCATCCGTGGCATTCCTCCATAGAAAGCTGGGTTTGCATCATGTGGTTAAGATTTGAGCTGTCCTCTAACATGAGGGGTCCTTGGTGCTCTCTGAGCTTGCTTGTTTTCTTGCAGATATTTCATTGCCCAAACTAGGTAACATCATCAGTGCAAGTAAGGAGTGCTGTTTGCTGCCAGTTTATATTCCTGTGTCTTTCCTGCCTGGGTGGGTGGGAGCAGTCTTAGGGATTCTTTGGTTGGGCTGTTTACTCATGTCTCTGGCAGTTTCTTGATTGGGCTGTTGCTTACTTGATTGTTGGTGTGATGTTAACTTTGGAGTTAATCTATGCTGATCTGGGTGCTGATTCCTGGTGGAGAGGTGCTGGAGTCTTTTTGGGGCTGGTTGTCCCAAAGGTGCTTTTACAGGAGGCAACTGGACTTTCTTATTTTTCTTTCAAGACATTTCGCTTCTCATCCAAGAAGCTTCTTCAGCTCTGACTGAATAGTGGGGAATGGAGGGATTTATACTCCTTGCAGACAGCTGGTCATTTGCATCACTTTAAAACAGTGGTTCCCAACCTTCCTAATGCCTCGACCCTTTAATACAGTTCCTCATGTTGTGGTGACCCCCAACCCCCCATCCAGCTGGCCGGGGAGTGGGGCAGGAAGGTCGTTCCACCAGCTCCACCCAGCCTGGTTGGAGAAGCACCATTCCTCTCCCATTCCTCTCTTTCTTTCCCCTCTCTTTCTCTCTTTCTTTCCTCTCTTTCTCTTTTCTCTCTCTCTTTTCCTGTGTTTCTCTTTCCTCTTTCTCTTTCCTCTCTCTCTTCTCTCTCTCCCTCTTTCCTCTCTTTCCCTCTTTCCTCTTTTTCTTTCCTCTCCCCGTTGCTTTCTCTCTCTTTCCTCTCTTTTTCTCTCTTTCCTCTCTTTCTCTTTCTTTCTCTCTCTCTTTCTCTGTTTCCTCCCTTTCTCTCTTTTCCTCTGTTTCTCTCTTTCTTCTCTCTCTCTTACGGCAGCATCGTCGGGGGTCCCCGCTGCCCCCGGCCTGGCCTCCACAGCATCCTCAGCTGAACGGGCAGGGAGGGGGAGCAGGACAGGAGGCAGCAGCCGCTGCTGCATCATCAGGGGTCCCTGCCGTGCCGCACTGCCCGGCCTCATCCTCCATTGATGGAGCCGCGGTGGGGGCTGGTGCCGCGCGGCTCGCCAGCCCCTCCACCAGCCCGGCTGCTCCCCCCAGGCACCCCTCTTCCTCCCGGCGCCCACCCGAGCCGCTTTGGGGGCAGCAGGAGGAAGAGGAGGAGAAGGGCGAGAAAACCGCTGCCACTGTCCTAGCCGGGACTCTGTGCTGCCCAGCCTTGCCCTCCGCCCATCCAATGGAGGCTGGTGCCACATGGCCCGCCAGCCCCTCCGCCAGCCTGGCTGCTGCCCCCCAGGCACCCCTCTTCCTCCCGACACCCGCCCGAGCCACTTTGGGGGCAGTAAGAGGAAGAAGGAGGAAGAGGATGGCAAGAAAGCTGCCGCCAGCACTGGGCCCCAGGAGGCGACTCTCCTCTCCTATCTTTGCTGAATCTCCTTCTTCCTTCCCGGCAGCCTGGACTCCAGCGCTCCTTCCTGGCCAGCGGGTCCAATGGTCGGGCTGGCTAGGGATTGCAGCAGCTGGTCTCCCTTGGGCCGCGGCTTGCGGGAGGGCTGGCCCATTCAGCGGAGCCTCCAGTGGGCTGCTCCCAAGAGGGATCCTGGGGCTTCCCCAGGAGGCTCCAAGGCCCTGGCCACGCTTCTCCCAGGGGTGGGGCACCCGGGCGCAGGGCCAATCAAGAGCCCTGCAGGAGATAAGTCCGCCTGAGAGAGAGAGAGAGAGAGAGAGAAGGGAAGCGAAAGTGCCTCTCTGTCTCTCTCTCTGCAAATGGCGGAGGAGGCTGTGAGGAAACGGATGTGGAGCGGTGTCTCGGTTCCTAAGACCATTGGAAATATGTGTTTTCCGATGGTCTCAGGCGACCCCTGTGAAAGGGTCATTCGACCCCGAAAAGGGCTGCGACCCACAGGTTGAGAACCGCTGCTTTAGAGAGTCCTTAAGGCCACTTGGGGTGATCCTGAGGACACAGATAAACCTCCAAGTGCATCAGTAACTCTCCAAAAGAATGCAAATGACCAGCGATCTGCAAGGAGTATAAATCCTTCCATTTCCCCACCATCCAGTCAGAGCTGAAGAAGCTTCGTGGATGAGAAGTGAAACATCTTCAAAGAAAAAATAAGAAAAATCCAGTTGCCTCCTGAAAAAGCATCTTTGAGACAACCATAACCTGGATGACTGAGAATCTCCATAGATATTTTGGGCTGGTTGATTGTCTCTTTTGCATAGTCTATAGATGTTGTTAACATCTATGTGTCTCTTGATGGCTGATTTGTCAAGAGTGCCAGGCTTCTAAAAGTTCCCTAGCATTTTTCGATTTGGCCTGCTCTAGGATTGTCACATTTTCTAAATTGAAACTATGGTTAAATTTGTCTATACGTTGTGAAATTAAAGAATTTTCATCATGCCTTTTGACTGCCAGTTGCCATTCGTGGATGCGTTCTGCCAGTCTCTTTTGCCCGTTTGTCCTACATAGTGGCTGTTGCAGTTCTTACATTGTATGTGGTAGATGACTCCTGTTTTTTTTCTTCTGGGGTTGCTGGGTCTTTGGCTTTGCTTTGTTTGGAAGAGCTTTCGTTGGCTTGTGTGCTACATTGATTCCATGTGGTTGTAGCAGTCTATTTACTGTTTCTGAGATATTCTTGATGTATGGCAGTGTAATTCTTTTTAGGGTGTGTGTTGCGTGTCCTGTATTGGGTTGACTGGTCAAGGACTTTTTGCCTTAAGATAGTTTACAAAATAAATTGCAGCTGGCTAGGTTCACACGACACGCATTATTTATAACAGACATGTCAAACACAAGGCCCAGGGGCCGGATATGGCCCACAAAGTGGTTTCATGTGGCCCGCGAAGCCATCCTGGAAACAGTGAGGAAATGGCCCCCACTGCCATGGCCCTGGCCCAGGCCGGCTGGGAGCCAATCTACAATTTTGTGGTGTCCAAATGCATTCAGTCTTAGCTCCACAAGGCCGTCTGGAAACAGCAAGGAACCGGCCACTGCTGTGTCGGCCCCGCCCCCTGGGTGCATGCTGGGGAGGTGTCACCCTTTGTGAGGAATGAAGAAATGCACCATCACCTGGAAGTGGCCAGCAAATGGCCCTCACCTACCTCACATATCCAGCTTGATAGGCTCCAGGGGAGGGGTTTCAGCAGGCAGTGAGGCTCCTCTAGTGGACCATGCCTTGGCACTTGCCACGGTCCCCTCCCCTTCTGCCAGAGACCCTCAGATTTGTCCCACTCCTGCCCAAGCCCCCACAGGCACCCTTGACACGAAGGATGTAGAACTGGCCATGCCCACCCAATAGACCACACCCACCATGCCCCCCCCCCGAGGGCAGCCGCAATGCTGATGCGGCCCTCAATGAAATTGAGTTTGACACCCCTGGTTTATAACATTACGGTCTTCAGATCCCCAGGGAAAAAACTAATCTGGCTGCCTAATATGCAAAATACCACTTTAATTTCAGCAGTGTAATTTGTCTTGCAAATCCCAGAGCTGAAGAGTTTCCACCATCTGAGCCTCTGGAAGATCTCAGCAGCGTGGATCTTCTGACCATGATGGAAGAGCAAGATTTGGCTAGCCTTGAAGCTGGAAGAAGCCTCGACGTCCTGGAGGTTGGAAATGGGGCAGAATTCTGGGGGAAGAAGGTGCAGAAGATCCTGCGTGGGGTGCACGGCTGCTGGGCCGAGCAGCACAAACGGTTCAGAGAGTTTTGCTACCAAGAAGCGGAAGGTCCTCGGGAGGTCTGGAGCCGAATTCATGACCTTTGCCACAAGTGGCTGAAGCCCAAAAGGCACACGAAAGCTCAGATCTTAGACCTGGTGATCCTGGAGCAGTTCCTGAAAATCCTGCCCCCAGAGATGGGGAACTGGGTTCGAGAGTGTGGGCCAGAGACCAGCTCCGAGGCTGTGGCCTTGGCGGAAGGGTTCCTTCTAAGCGAGATCGAGGGAGCACAAGTAAGTGCATTTTCATTGGCTCTGTTGTGGAGTGGAGTGTGGGGAATGGTATGGTATGGTAAGGAAAGGAAATGAATGGAATGGAATGGAATGGACCTTGGAGATCTTCTAGTCCAACCCCCTGCTCAGGTAGGAAACCCTATACCATTTCAAACAAATGGTTGTCCAGTCTCTTTTTAAAAACTTCCAGTGTTCGAGCATTCACCACTTCTGGAGGCAGGTTGTTCCACTGTTAATTGTTCTAACTGTTAGGAAGTTTCTCCTTAGTTCTAGGTTGCTTCTCTTCTTGATTAGCTTCCGTCCGTTGCTTCTGGTCCTGCCTTCAGGCGCTTTGGAGAATAAGTTGACCCCTTCTTCTTTGTGGCAGCCCCTGAGATATTGAAACACTGCCATTATGTCACTCCTAGTCCCTTTCTTCATTAAACTGGACATATCCAATTCCAGCAACTGTTGGAAAGCAATCTGAAAAATCATCCTTTTCTGGATTTTAGCCAAGTCTAGTACAGCAGAGGTCTTGGGCAAGGGGACACTCTCTATTCACACATTATTAAACTAAATCAGGGTTTGCTTAACCAAAGTTTATCGAATAAAGTGAGATTGTGCTTGGATCAGAGTTCCCCAACCTTTCGGGGTTGGGTGCCCGGAGCAGAGGGAGGGGGGCAAAGAAGGGATGGTTTCGTGGGAGGGGTAAATGCATGGGCTTGCATGAACACTCATTGCTCACACAAGTGGGGCTGTGAGCGCACAAGTGGGGCTTGCGTGAGTAAGGCCACAAATGCCCGCAATGCTTATGTGAGAGTGGCAACAGCAAAACCCGCTATGACACTCACGCAAATGGGGGTGTGCACACCAGCCTGCCACTTACGCGGTCTGGTGACCAATAGGCAGTGGACCGCAGCCACAGGTTGGGGACCTCTGGCTTCAATCATCTCACCCGCTGAGCTATCAAGCGTACAGTTCATAAAAATCATTATTAGAAGGTCTTCCCAGTCTCTAAAAGAGTCCAGGCAGTTGCCAGCGAGAAGAGAAATACAGCTACAACTGGTCATTTAGAGCAGTGATTCTCAACCTTTCTAATGCCGTGACCCCATAATACAGTTCCCCATATTGTGGTGACCCCCAAGTGGGTGTGGCCACCAATAAGAGGGAGTAGGACAGCTAGGGAAAAGGGGAAAAAATGGCGGACAGCATAGTTTGGTGACCCCCGTGAAATGGTCATTTGACCCCAAATGGGGTCCCGACCCACAGGTTGAGAACCACTGATTTAGAGACTGTTCAAAGTCACAATGGCACTGAAATAAGTAACCTATGATCATTTTTGCACACTTAAACGACCATTGCAGCATCCCCCTGGTCCCCGTGATCCAAATTCAGACTCTTGGTAACCGACTCTTATTTATGATGGCTGCAGTGTACTGGGGCCATAAGATGTGATTCGCCTTTTGCCGTGCTTCTGACAAGCAAAGTCAGTGGGGAAGCCAGATTCACTTATCAACCTCGTTATTAATTTAACAACTGCACTGATTCTCTTAACGGGCAGGAAAGGTTGCAAAATGGAGCCAAACTCACTTAATGTCTTGCTTAGCAACAGAAACGTTGGGCTCACGTTGTAAGTTGAGGACTACCTGTCATTTATAGGTGGCCTCCCTCCCACTGACTTTGGGTAGCTTACGATTCGAAGTAAAAAAAAAATCAAAACCTACAAAAGAATCATGGATGACCTCCAAAATGCCATATAGCCAAAAATATCCACCATCCAATATGGGTACAACATTCACTTTTGCCCAGAACCTTGCAGAACAGCCAGGTCATTACTAGATTCGTGAGTAGCATCAAGATGGGAGCTTCGGAATCTCCTGAGAATGGCCAGCTTCCTAGATCCCACTAAAGCAGACATGTCAAACACAAGGCCCGGGGGCTGGATGTGGCCCGCAAAGTGGTTTTATGTGGCCCGCAAAGCCATCCTGGAAATAGTGAGGGAACGGCCCCCTCTGCCTTGGCCCTGGTCCAGGCCAGCCGGGAGCCAATGTACAATTTTGTGGTGGCCATCTATGCTGAAACGTATTCAGTCTTAGTTCCATAATCTCTCCCCCCCCCCCCCCCGCATGGCCTGAGAGGAATGGTGAGGCTCCTCCAGTGGACCATGCCTGGGCACTTGCCCTGGTCCCATTCCCTTCTGCCAGAGACCCTCAGATCTATCCCACTACTGCCCAGGCCCCCAAAGGCACCCTTGACGTGAACGATGTAGAGCTGGCCATGCCCACCCAGTAGGCCACACCCACTCCATGCTCACCAAGTACGCCGCACCCATCCTGGCCACACCCACCCGGCCCCCTGAGGGCAAATGCAATGCTGATGTGGCCTTCAATGAAATTGAGTTTGACACCCCTGCACTAAAGCAAGGGTCTCCCAACTTGGCAACTTTAAGAATTGTGGGCTTAACTCCCAGAATTCCTCAGCCAGCCACAAGTCTTTAAATTTACCAAGTTGGGAGACCCTTGAACTAGAGCAGAGTTCCCTCAACTTTTCGGGGTTGGCGGTCCATAACAGGGAAGAGGGGGAAAGAAGGGATGGTTTTATGAGAGAGGTAAATGTGTGCACGTGCACAAACACCAATTGCTCACACGAGTAGAGCCACGAATGCCCGTGACACTCACAAGTGGGGCCGCAAGCACCCACAACGTCCGTGGTGATGCAAGCGCTTGCATGCCGGGCCACTAGCACTCGCATGAGTAGGGTTGCACAAACACCTGCGACAACACTCGCGCTGTTGAGGCCACGAATGCCTGCAATGCAGTGATGCTCACAGCAGGGGGGCTGTGCACGCATATGCAGATGTACACATCGGCCAGCCACTCACACGGCCACAGGTTGGGGACTCTTGTACTAGAGAGCACTACTTGATCAGCAGGACTCAAGAGCTTGTCCACTCTGCCTGATCATCCTGGAGATATAACCATACATGGTTGTTGTTAGCTGTGAAGTCGTGTCCAACCCATCGCGACCCCATGGACAACATTCTTCCAGGCCTTCCTGTCCTCTACTATCTTCTGGAGTCCATTTAAGCTCATGCCTATTGCTTTAGTGAGTCCATCCAGCCACCTCATTCTCTGTCGCCCCCTTCTTCTACTGCCCTCCATCTTTCTCAGCATCAGGCTCTTCTCCAGTGAGTCCTTCCTTCTCATTAGGTGGCCAAAGTATTTGAGTTTCAACTTAAGGATCTGGCCTTCTAAAGAGCAGTCGGGGTTGATCTCTTCTAGGACTGACCGGTTTGATCGCCTTGCAGTCCAGGGGACTCGCAGGAGTCTTCTCCAGCGCCAGAGTTCAAAGGCCTTAATTCTTTGGCGCTCAGCCTTTCTTATGGTCCAACTTTCACAGCCATACATTGCAACTGGGAAAACCATAGCCTTGACTATACACACTATAAATGGAAGCTAATCATAAAAATTGCCTGGCTGCAAGTTAATAAAGAATTAACTTTATTAATTTACGAGAAAAGGATGCACGCCATTTTGAAAGGAATAAAACAATCCTTGAATAAATCATATTTTGGACAATGGAGATCTGGGGTGGAATCCCCCATCCCTAGTTCTCTAGGAACTAGCTAGAACATCCTGCACAATTCTTTTCTTTTATCTAGAGGCAGAAGGTGGTCGTAGTGGATAAGGGATGAGTAGTAAGAGGCAAGCCACTAATCTGGACATTCTACCCCCTTTCTCTCTTCAAACTAGCAGCTGAAGGTCCCTTCATAATTGTTCTTATTAGTTGCGAAGTCATGTCCAACCCATCGCGACCCCATGGACAACGTTCCTCCAGGCCCTCCTGTCTTCTGCCATCTTCTGGAGTCCATTTAAGCTCACGCCTGCTGCTTCAGTGACTCCATCCAACCACTTCATTCTCCATCGTCCCTTTCTTCTCTTGCCCTCCATCTTTCCCAGCATCAGGTCCTTCTCCAGTGAGTCCTTCCTTCTCATTAGGTGACCAAAATAACCAGCCCCTATGTCACAAAGGGCTTCATAATGATAACCAGCATCTTGAAGTGCCAACTGATAACCAGTGTTCAACTCAGGCCCAACTCTTACTTTGCTTACCTTTCATTTTAATGGAAACAAGTGAATCCCAAGAGATTTATGGGCAGGTAATAGAAAAGCTAAAATTCTCCCGCAAAGAAGATAGTTTTCCTCTTTTTTTTTTTTTTTTTTTTTTTTTTGCAGGATGTAACCAAATTGGAACGTGAACATTAAGTACATGGTTAAATTAGGTTTGAAAGGGGACAAGTCACAATCATAGCGATTTTGAAATCAAGACTCCTCATCTTGAGGATTTTTTCATCCCTGTTGGTTCTTTGAGCAGACTTCCATACAGCCGATAATTTTCTGGCAACGTGAAGGATTGAACCCACATTTGCGAAAATGGTGACTAATTTTCTTTGTGTGGGTTCCAGGCACAAGGGATGCTGGCCAGACCTGCCTCTGAGTTTCCCGACACGGAGAATTTATCAGCCGACATAAATCCGAGGCCACGGTTTGAGAAAATTGTGGATGATAAGGCCGCCTCTCTGGGTAAAGTAATTTCATTGAGTCACCTTCTCTCACAGTCCTGTGTGAAAGATACAAAGTGTGAAATATGCCTTTGCTTTACCTACAGAAAATGAAATGGCCGTGGATGGTGGGATGGGAACTGCTTCTCTGCAGTCAGATCAGGTAAGGATTATGTAGGGAAGCTTAGGAGTAAAAGCGTCTGCAGAATGGGTGGCTTTCATCACAATAACAGAAACAAGGCTGTCCCTTGGGAGTTGGAAGTCCACGAGTCATAAAAGAACCAAGGTTTCCCAGCCCTGATCTAGACCTACAAGGTCCCTTCCAACTCTGTTATTCTATTTTATTAGTGATTTTGCTCCTTTGACTTGAGTTGCAGGTTCAACCACTGTTTCAGCTGCAGCATACAGAGCAGACAACTCCACTGTAGTCTTCCCTGTGAGGAAAAACACAAATTTAAAAAGCATAATTAATAACACAGGAAGAGAGATTTTACAGAAGAGGAGAGAGTTTGGGACTTTCTGGAGAATTGAGGACCTTTGTTTACCTCCCAAGGTGTCCAGACTTGGATCTTCCAGAGAAATGCTCCTCAAAAACAACTCCTGAGGAGAATTTGATGGATTCCTGCTTCCCTCAGAAACTCTGATGTCCTTTGTGAAGAACTTGAAATAGGAGACAGGAGAAAAGAAGAATTAGTGGACATTACACAATACAAATTGGATTCTTGAAAGCCTCCAATGTTCATCAGTGAGGCTGGAAAATAAGAAAGGGATGTCTGTCATCATTTTTTTTTATAACAGATAATGAAACAATATCCTACAAAAATTAGTGAAACATCTCCACATATTACGAATTCCAGAAACCTGGTAGGGAGATGTCTATGGAGATTCTCAGTTATCCACGTAATGGTTGTCCCAAAGATGCTTTTTCAGGAGGCAACTGGACTTTCTTGTTTCTTCTTTGAAGACGTTTCGCTTCTCATCCAAGAAGCTTCTTCAGCTCTGACTGAATGGTGGGGAATGGAAGGATTTATACTCCTTGCAGACAGCTGGTCATTTGCATTCTTTTAGAGAGTCGTTGAGGCCACCTGGAAGTTTATCTGTGTCATCAGGATCACCTGAGTAGTGCAAATGGGTGTGGAGCCTTCTTGGAACTGCTGAAAGGACTGTGTTACAGACTGGAGATAGATGATTCCATATCCCCTTCCCCCCCATATTGAGAGAGGTTTGTTCAAAATAGAGGGGGAGGGATATGACATCATCTATCTCCAGTCTACAACACAGCCCTTTCAGCAGTCCCAAGAAGGCTCCATACCTATTTGCACCACTCAGGTGACCCTGACGACACACATTAACCTCCAGGTGGCTTTGCGATACATTAAACCAAAGAATCATGTTTTGGCTTTGCATGATGTATCGGTCCTGTCACTTTCTCTCTGTTAAGAAGTTTGAAGACAACTGCAAAAATGTTCGGTTGTAGAATAACATGTTTTCATCTTTTTTCAGGGCTTGGGGCCCGTTAACAAAGTGGCTACAGAGGAAAGGACTCCATTAGATCCAAACCAGATGGACACAACAGAAGAGAATTATGGGACCTTGCCATCTCTGGGTAAGTTTCCTTCTTGGCTACAAGAGCCAAAAATCAGAAATGACTGCCATCAATTGTGCTAAACCGTGCTCTGTGGGTGAGTTCTAGAGCAGGGGTCCCCAACCTGTGGGCTGTGGCCCACTACAGGGCCGTGGCCTCCTGGCCACAGGGCCACGGGACAGGCTGGCCAGTGCGCGCACATGTGCATGCCCACACCCCCCACTGAGGCTAAAACATACAAGGAACGGTTGCTGGAATTTGGTATGTCTAGTTTAATGAAGAGAAGGACGAGGGGGGACATGATAGCAGTGTTCCAATATCTCAGGGGCTGCCCCAAAGAAAAGAGGAAGTCAAGCTATTCGCCAAAGTGCCAAAGGTAGGACAAGAAGCGACAGATGGAAACTAATCAAGGAGAGAAGCAATCTAGAACTAAAGAGAAATTTCCTGACAGTTAGAACAAATAACCAGTGGAACAACCTGCCTCCAGAAATGGCGTAGGGTTTCCTGCCTGAGCAGAGGGGTTGGACTAGAAGACCTCCAAGGTCCCTTCCAACTTTATTACTATTGTTATTATGGATCATCGCACAGTCAGCCAGATGTTCAGACTGGATTTGGCATCTTGTCTACCTGTCGAGTCCTTACCCAGGACCTGGGATAGGCAGATATCGTCGCAGGATGGAAGCAGTTCCTAGTAAGGCCGCCTTTTTCAATTGACTAATAGCGAATTTGTCAATGCCAATGGTGTTCAAGTGGTGCTCCAGTTGTTTTGGGATTATTATTATTATTATTATTATTATTATTATATGAGGGGATAGAAGGGGAACTCATCAAATTTGCAAATGATACTAAACTTGCAGGAATAGCCAACACCCCAGAAGACAAGAACGGGGCAGTGCTAATATCACGGCACTAGCGCCGCCCCATTTGCGCCACACACATACTTGCAGCCCCGTTTCGTACGTGTGCCCATGCGCACTCATAAAATGCTGCCCCCTCCCTTTCCCTCCGGTCCGCCAACTGAGAAAGGTTGGTGACCTCTGTCCTAGAGAAGAGCAGTAGCTGATCCATGTGCATTGTGGAAGGCAGTGAGAATAGAGAGCCAGTTTGGTCTAGTGCAGGGATCCCCAAACTGTAGGCCGCAGTTCACTATCGGGCCATGGCCAATTGGCCACCGGGCTGAATGAGTAGCTGGCTGTTGCACTAGTGTGCGTGCATGCACTTACAGCCCCACTCGCACAAGTGCTGCCGCATGTGTCCTGGCGTTCATGGCCCTGCTTGCTTAAGTGTTGTCATGGGTGTTCACAGCCCCACTCACGTGAGCGTCGCCAGCATTCATGGTGCCACTTGCATGAACATCGCCGGCACTTGCGGTCCCACTTGTGTGAGCATCACAGGCATTCGCAGCCCCACTCACACAAGCAAAGGCTATTCATGCACATGCCTATGTTCACACACACACACACACACACACACATCTCTTCTTTCTCCCCTCCTGCCACTCTGGGCCACCAACCCCAAAAGGTTGGGAAATTCTGGTTTAATGGCTAAGGTATCAGGCTAGAAACCAGGAAACCGTGAGTTCTAGTCCTGCCAAAGGCATGAAAACCAGCTGGGTGACCTTGGGCCAGTAATTCCCTCTCAGCCCAAATGACCTCACATGATTGTTGTTATGGGGAAAATAGGAGGAGGAAAGAGTATGGTGTATGTTTTATTATTTATAAAAATAATAAAGGCAGCAAATAAATCAATTAAAAAAATTAAATTGGCCTGTGCTACAGTAACACCATAAGATCTAGTGAGTGTGAGGCTTGTTCCCTGTTTGTTTACTGTAGCACCCCCCATCCTACACCAAATAGGAAAAGTGGGGTATGTTGGATATGTTTGTCACACTGAGTTATTTGCAAAAATACAAATAAATAAACACCAATACTGGCTTAATTCATGCGATTGTGTGTTATCCATAGGAACCTTCAAACTGTCTAGCTAACCTTATTGCTCTCAATGTGTGTAAGAACTACAAATACTTGCCATTAGTGTCTAAGCTTTAATTAAGCAATGGGCCAAATTTAAATCAATAATGGTTTGATATCATAAAATGCACCAGACGTATATTTCATTTTTTTTCCCTTTTCTTGCTACTTGGTTTCAGTGCCCCAAACTAAATTCACCTCATGGCAGGAAGTAACTGAGGACCCATCTGTCAAGGATTCTCAAGGAGAAGAAAGACCAGCAGGTAAGCATTCGGTTCACACACTGCATTAAGCCATGGCTTGCTTAGCGGTGTTTACTGAATAAATTATAACCATCAAATTCACCAAGCAGAATGGAATAGGGTAGGATAAGGGATGGGGTTAGAGAATAGAATTAGAATTGGAATTAGGAATAGAATCGAATAGAATCGAACCTTTATTAGCCAAGTGTGATTGGACTCACAAGGAATTTGTCTCCGGTCCATAGGTTCTCTATGTACATAGAAACAACAAAGTGATAAGTCATAGTGCCCACGTGATAAGTCATTATGTCCAAACTAAACAAATTAACTTTTCGATTTGCATATGTAGCATCATCTCAGTGATTGTGCTGTGTCGTGCTTTGCATTTCTTTAATAATGATTTAAGGAATAAGCCCCAGTTGGCCTGGATCTTGCAAAGTGCGTCAGCATAAATAATGATTTATAAGCCACACTTTCTGAGCAAATATAAAATGCAGTCGTAATGTGATTAGTATCATTTTGGTGGAAGGTATTGTCCAGACACCGCCTCTTCTTTGAATCTAGGAGCTCTTCCAGAATTGGAGGTAAGGTTTTGTTTGATCAGGTTCCTCTTATTGATTCACTCAGATGACGACAAAAGCAGTAAACAGGATAAACAGAAATTTGAAGAAAAGCAGATATGGGGAGAGAAACCTGTCCATTTTGAAGAGGCTGACTTCTCTCAGATTCCAAAATTAGAAGAATATAATGCAGAAATGAAAAATACGAGTAATAGTAGAGAAAAGCCACTGAAATCCCTTGAGTCTGGAGGTGGCTTAAGTGAGCAGGTAAGACTTACTAAGCCGCAGAGAACAGGAGATAAAACCTATAAATGCTTAGAGTGCGGAAAGAACTTCACAAACCTTAAGTCACATCAAAAGATGCACACGGATGAGAAGCCATACAACTGTTCAGAGTGTGGGAAGAATTTCCGGTACAGCATGAATCTGAAAACACATCAGCGAATTCACACGGGGGAGAAACCGTATAAATGTTCTGAATGTGGAATGACTTTCAGCTACAGCATGAATCTGAAAACACATCAGCGAATTCACACGGGGGAGAAACCATATAAATGTTCTGAATGTGGAATGACTTTCAGCTACAGCATGAATCTTAAATCGCATCAAAAAAGCCACACTGGGGAGAAGCTGTACAAATGTTTGGAATGCGGGAAGAGTTTCACTCACAGCATGAACCTGAAGACGCATCAGAAAATCCACACGGGAGAGAAACCCTATAAGTGTTCAGAGTGTGGGAAGAATTTTACTCACAGCATGAATCTGAAGACCCATCAAAGAATTCATACCGGGGAGAAACCATATAAATGTTCTGTCTGTGGAAGGACGTTCAGCTACAGCATGAATCTGAAAACACATCAGCGAATTCACACGGGAGAGAAACCATATAAATGTTCTGAATGTGGAATGACTTTCAGCTACAGCATGAATCTCAAATCACATCAAAAAAGCCACGCTGAGGAGAAATCATACCACTGTTCGGACTGCGGCAAGAATTTCAGTGACAGTGCAAACCTGAAGTCGCATCAAAAAATCCACATGGGAGAGAAACCGTATAAATGTTCCGAGTGTGCAAAACAGTTCAGTAGCAGTTCAGACCTTAAACTGCATCAGAGAGTTCATGTAGGGAAAGAACTCTCTAATGCTCCCAAGGAACGAGTTTAAAATCACTGTGCAATCTGCAAGAAGATTGTACTGAAAGGATATTGTTGGATGCGGGATCCTACTTTTCACATCTTCTATCCTATCCAGGGAGGTCTACAAGGTGGGGTTAGAAAAAAGTCAAAGTTGAGGGCCCTGTGGCCCTGTGATTGAATCCCTGTCCCTTTTAATCTGTGTTGAACAGGAATCGCATAAAAAAAGAGCAGAGCTTAGATCACGTGGCCATGATTACCATCTAGATATTTTCAATACTCCGTAGAGTTATTCCTGCTTGCCTCAAAATATGGAATGAACTGAGCCTTCTAAAATGCTTAGTGTTTGAGGTTAATTTCATTGATAGTCTTACAAACGCTGAATTCCAGCAGAGGACAACTGCGTGTTTTATGTGCAGAAGTATCCCACCTTAAAATTGCATCAAGCAATTTCTCATGGAAGTAGAGAAGTGATAGTCCCATGTATCAAACAATCTTCAGTCCTAGCAAAAGTCTTGCATCCGGTCAGGGAATGTAGAGAGGGGAGAATCGTATTAAATTGTAGAAGATAGAAAGGGAAGAATCATATTAAATTGTAATATGGACTAAAGGGGGGGGGATTTCCCATGATCGCATAATGCTTCGTTTTAAAAGAGATTCCATGAACTCAGTGGAAAGATATGTAAATAATTAAGGATCAGTTTTTATCTGGCCGATCTGTAGCCAAGAAGGATTCAGCATGGTAGACCAAGATTCCTTTGCTCAAAATGTGGCAGAAAATTCCTTCTAGTCCATGTATGTGTGTTTTTAATTGGGCTCCTAACTAGTGACCTCAATTAACTTTGACAAAAAAAAAAAAACCCTATCATTATAGTTAATACTATAGTTGACTTGTTGGGTGGTGGTGTTTTGTTTTTTTTTAATATCTCCATACTGTCACTTTATGCCAACGGTCCCCAACCCTTTCTGGCTTGGCGACCCAGTGCTGGGAAGAGTGGACGGTTCCATGCAAGTGGCAGGCAAGTGCGCAAAGCTCCATTATGTGAGTGGAGCTTCACGCAGAAGCACAAGTGCCTGCCCTTCACAAGCTTTGCATGTGAGTGCAAACATCCGCAACTCACATAAGTGGAGCTCCACACGCATGTTCACCCGCCGCTTGTGCAGCTCAGTTCCAAATGGGTCACAGCCCAGGGGTTCGGGACCTCTGCTTTACACAGTCATTTTTAACCAATCCAGTGTTGTACTTCCTGCTTACCTTTGTCCAGGACTTGCCTTTAATTCAAGGTTCCCAAAGCTCTGGATGAGAAGTACGGGAGTATCTTCTTTTTTTTTTTTTTTTTAAGAAAACCTGAATTCTCCTTGTGGGGCAAGTTTTTCAAATGCAGCTTTCCCCATATAAGTCTTTGTAAATTTTACTACTATTGATAAGGAACTCTGGGTAGTGTACATAATTTAAATGCTGTGGAGGATGGGAGAGTTGATCAGGAAAAATTAAAATTGTCAAACTGCAATGCTCTTATTCTTTCTGTTGCAATGACTGAGGCAAATGGAACGTCATAGGTGCTTTCAAGTGAAATTTGAAGGAGGAATTCCTTTGCACCTCAACATTTGGCTTATAGGCTTTAAAAAGTCACTGAATTAAGGAAAATCTTACTGACAAACTGATCACATACTCCAGCTTAAAATTTAATCTGCATTCCTTTTTCTCTGTTTTTTTCTTGCTTGCATCATGTCACTTTCAGTTTTCTTGAGTCAATTTGTCCTCGTTCTCCACCCCATTGCACAATCTTCTGTAAAATAAGATCTGGAGTACCGAATCATCTTTATTTCCAAGAATGTGTTTGGTTTCCACATAGGCCCAGGAAAATGATCAAAGTTTTTAAAACAACATGGCTGTAGCACAGTCCGATGTATCATTCTACTTTTCCAGAAAAAAAATGTCATTTCAGCTAGATATTGATGGTAAATATTGTGGTGAGCCAGAAAATGTTTTGGTGAATAATGTAAGCACCTGTTTCATGATTATTATTTTTTCTTTGAATTTGATTATACCTGCATTGCCATCATTTTGTGAAAGGGCAACTCCCATCAACCATTTTCTTTGGGTATCAATGATCTTGTGCACTCTGAATTTGTAAAGTAAAAGATTGAGGGCCTCATAATTCTCATAATAAAGATTTCATAATAAAATGTTAGGGGTTTCATAACTAATAGTATTTTCTGCAATTCTCTTACTTCTCATGAAGAATTCCCATAGGAGGGAGGCTCATAAAGAGTATGAAAAGAGCAATACTCAAAATGATCAGCTTACCATAAAGGGATCCACATTATTAAGAAACCCTACAAATGCATACAGTGTGAAAAGAGCTTCAGGTAAAACTATTACCTTACTGGTCTGAAGGATATGGATCAGAAAGAGAGATAATACTGGATACAAACAGCAGACTACGTGGTCAGAAATGATTGACTTCGCTTACTGTTACTTACGTGATTGAGATGGTAACCCAAGTTGATAAATGTACAATATAGTTTGGAGTCTTCAGTTGCGAGATACAAGCAATAATATCCTACCTTGGTGCTCCCTGAGTTTGGTTGTTTCCTCGCAGACAGTTAATAATAATGATAAAGTTGGAAGGGACCTTGGAGGTCATCTAGTCCAACCCCCTTCTCAGGCAGGAAACCCTATACCATTTCTGACAAATGGCTGTCCAATTTCTTCTTAAAAACTTCCAATGTTGGTGCATTTACCGCTTCTGGAGGCAGGTTGTTCCACTGGTTAATTGTTCTCACTGTCAGGAAGTTTCTCCTTAATTCTAGGTTGCTTCTCTCCTTGATGAGTTTCCATCCGTTGCTTCTTCTCCTGCCCTTCAGGCATTGTGGAGAATAGCTTGACTCCCTCTTCTTTGGGGCAGCCCCTGAGATACTGGAAGGCTGCTATCATGTCCCCCCTCATCCTTCTCTTCGTTAAACTAGACATACCCAATTCCAGCAGCCGTTCCTTATATGCTTTAGCCTCCAGTCCCCTAATCATCTTTGTTGCTCTTCTCTGCACTCTTTCTAGAGTCTCAACATCTTTTTTACATCGTGGTAAAAGTTCACTAGCACAGATGATGTTACCTAGTTCAGGTAATGAACCATTTGCAAGAAAACAACCAAGCTCAAAGAGCACGAAGGACCCCTCATTTCAACCCAGAGCTACAAGTATTCTTGTTTATCGGTAATGATATGCTACATCTCCCAAGAATTAGGATGAATATTTGAAAGGTGCTGTGAAAGCCTGATCTGAGGAGCTTTTAAATGAATAGGGGGGAAGGCACACACACACACACATACATCCCAAATAACAATGTCAAGTAAATGGTGGGGCAGGTAAAAGGTATGAGATATCTAATGTAAATACGGGGATAAATGTTATGATCAATTTCAGGGTCTCTACAAATACACAAAATATACAGTGAATAGGAAGAACACGACATTTCAATGCATGGAGGGGACTATGATCTAATAACGACACGGTGGGATGAAACTCCTATGTGGAATACGAAAAGTGAAGGATGTAATAAAATGGGGGGGAAAGGAAGAGTACTGTAAATAAGGGAAGCACAGATGTTTTTCGAGATTTAGGAAATTAAACACAAGGGCCCAGTCAAAAGCATTGTTGGAATGATGAATCTTGAACCTGTCCTTATGGGTAAAATGTTTGAGAATGTTAAGGAATAATTAGAAAAAGGCGGCAGGATTGAGGTATATAAAATGTCTGAAAAAAGAGGCGACATGAAAAAAAGGCTCGAAATGTTAGGGTCCGAGGATCCAATGAAGGAGATTTGAGAACAGAACAAAGGAAGTCGTTCTGACAGCAAAGCGCTTCATAACATTTGTAAGAAAATGCTGTGATTGTCATCAACCTCTGGTCATCATTCAATACAGTGGCATTTTTTGGTCTTCCATTGAGATTTACACCGATTCTGTCTGTCTTCAAAGATATCCATTTAGTTTTGCTTGCATAGTAAACTTTCTGGAAACTAAGAAAAGTATATTTCAGTTCTCAGCGATGGAAATCAAATTTGCCATGCCCCAATTTGTGGTTATTTCAAAGAAAACATGAATTCATTTTGTATAGAGGGTCTAGGATTCTAAGCTCTTTAGGTTTAATCTTGTCTTAATTTCATACTTGATGAAGATCATTTTTAATTCTGTATTTTAATTCCTCCTCCTATAATGGATGTTTCGCCTCAAATTCCTTTATTAAACTGCTCCTATATTTAGCTGTTTTCTCTCCCTTATTAAATGAATTCTACTTTGCTTGCTGAGAGGAATGTGCCATCTCAGTTTCCTCACACTTCTGTTCCCTGAGGTAATTTTGTTGTTGTAAAACTTGGTTATTTGGCAATTTTTTTCCATTTAGCAACATGATTTCCTTCAGTATTTTTTTCCCCTTCAGCATCTCCATTTTGCTCTTCCACATATATACCAGATGCCACGATGCTCTTCCACTTCATATACCAGATGCCACAGCTACCATCTTTTATCCCCTCAGATCAGGGACTGTTCTTCAATAAAAGTGTTTCTTAGTACAGTACAAAAGCTGGAAAGTCCTCCCTTTGAGAGAGACGTTGGGGCAAAATCACTCAGAATTACTGTACTGTTTTACTAAAAGTATAGCATTGCATTTCTACATTAAATGTTCCCCACAAGCAGGGAGTAACTGTTAACTGTTTTACACGGTGCACAGGGCATCTTTTTTCTGCAAGGCAAGCCCCTTCTGGGTGAAAATTGAGTTTTTGCACAAACTCAGCTTCTGAGGAACCTGGCAAGATCAGGGCTAGGTGTCTGCATCTGGAGCATCTGCAAGTCACAGGGTCAGGGTTTCCTGGCCTGGAAGGTACCCTCTTTCCTGGACTGGAGGCAAGGAAATATTTTCTTCTGCAGAAGTCCAAGGATCCAAGCTGATTGACACCCCTTATCAATATTCCTCCGATATCTGAGTCCTTATAGAGTGGCAGCCTGAGTAGATATTTGGGGAAGGGGGGGGGGGAGAAAACTTTGAAGAGAGACAATGGGTGGAAACTAATTAAGGAGAGAAGCCACCTGGAATTAAGGAGAAACTTCCTAACAGTGAGGACAATTAACCAGTGGAACAGCTGGCCTTCAGATGTTGTGGGTGCTTCATCACTGAAGGTTTTTAAGAAGAGACTGGACAGCCCCTTGTCTGAAATGGTATAGGGTCTGGACTAGAAGACTTCCAAAGTCCCAGCTATTCTGATTCTGATGTGAAGTGGTATGCATTGTGTTAACGACTAAGGATTTTTGTCACCCCTTTGCAACTATCTTTCATTAGCGTTGTGCTGTTTATGCTATAAATCCTTGCTACAAATGTAAATTGCAAACATATTGAATAATGAAAGAAGCGGTATATAAGTCTAAGTCAGTGATTCTCAACCTTTTTAATGCTGCGACCCCCAATCGGTCGTAAGTTGAGGACTACTCAGCCGGTCGTAAGTCGAGGACTACTCAACTGGAGCAGCACCGTTTGCAGAATGGGACTTTTGGCGGGCTCAGCAGGGCAGAGACAGCCTGGACAATTCCTATTGGCTTTTGAAAGCCAATAGAATTAGACTCTATTCAAGAAAGCCTATTCTATTGGCTTTCAAAAGCCAATAGAATAAAAGGGAGTAGCACAGCTAAGGAAAAGGGGAAAAAAATGGTAGACTGCATTGTTTGGCGACCCCTGTGAAATGGTCATTCGACCCCAAATGGGGTCCCAACCCACAGATTTGAGAACCACTGGTCTAAGTGCTATTGCTAAAATGGGCTTTCCTTATTTTAGCTGATCATCAGGAAATTATATGTAGCTCAGGGTTGAAATGTAGGGTCATTGGTGCTCTCTGAGCTTGGTGGTTTTCTTGCAGACATTTTATTACCCATAACTAGCATTGATGATGTTACCTAGTTTGGCTAATGAAACGTCTGCAAGAAAACCACTAAGCCCAGAGAACACCAAGGACCCTTCATTTCAACCCCGAGCTACATACAATTCTCTTTTATTCGCATTGGCCGCTTTTAACGGGTCCTCACCACAGACAGGCGGGAACTCTTAGCCCCGCCCCTTCCAGCGGGTCTTTTCCGAAGGTTCTCAAGAGGGGAATTCGGGGGGGGGGGGCAGCGCCAGGACAGCGAAACAGAGGGCCGGAAAGGCCACTCCTCAGTACGGCCTTTCTAGGCAAAAGCACTCGCTCCCGTTAACCCTTGGAGAGCACGAGGATACCTGGAATGCATTGGATATCCGTGTGCGCGGCTGCATCTGCGGGGCAGGGATGGAGGGGGTAGGTCCTTCTGCAGCCTCGCTTGGGATCGGGGTTCCAGGCGAGGGGGACCCTTCGGCAGATCCATGTCTTCCCCGCGGGCTCCAAGCAAAGAAGCCGTTTCTCTGTGCCAAGTTTTGTCTCCGACGTTTCCCGAAAGGGTCGAAGCCGCTGCCCTGCATCCCCGGGAGGACAAAAGGAGCGAGTTGGGATGCTTTTATCCTGGAAGCCTCAGTTGCAGATGGCAGGAGTGAGGAGAGGCCCGGGTTTCTGGTCGTACAGCTTTATGACAATACGTCGTACTGACTTCCATGTCTATGGAGATTCTCAGTAGTCATCTTCATTAAACTAGCCATCCCCAATTCCAGCAACCGTTCCTTATGTGCTTTAGCCTCCAGACCCCTGATCACCTTTGTCACTCATAAACATTTATGAAGTGGTTGTTTTCTTTCCCCAAGGTACAGATCTGCACATGGTTCACTGCATTGTACTGCATGTACCACATTGCTTAATGTGTGTCCGGGTGTTTCATCCTTGGGGTGGACAAGCTTCTTCCTTAGTATATTCTTGGGTGCATGTGTATAATAATAAAGCTGGAAGGGACCTTGGAGGTCATCTAGTCCAACCCCCTGCTCAGGCAGGAAACCCTATACCATTTCGGACAAATGACTGTCCAGTCTCTTCTTAAAAACTTCCACTATTGGAGCATTCACCACTTCTGGAGGCAGGTTGTTCCACTGTTTAATTGTTCTAACTGCCAGGAAGTTTCTCCTTAGTTCTAAGTTGCTTCTCTCCTTGATTAGTTCCCATCTGTTGCTTCTTGTCCTGCCTTTGAGCGCTTTGGAGAACAGCTTGACTCCTTCTTCTTTGTGGCAGCCCCTGGGATATTGGAACACTGCTATCATGTCCCCCCTTGTCCTTCTCTTCGTTAAACTAGACCAGGGGTAGGCAACCTTGGCTCTTTTATGACTCGTGGACTTCAACTCCCAGAATTCCTGAGACCGCCACGCTGAGGGGAAAGGGAGGTTTCCAAACTGAGCCATGCTGGCTCAGGAATTCTGGGAGTTGAAGTCCACGAGTCCTAAAAGCCAAGGTTGCCTACCCCTGAACTAGACATACCCAATTCCAGCAGCCTTTCCTTATATGTTTCAGCCTCCAGTCCCCTAATCATCTTTGTTGCTCTTCTCTGCACTCTTTCCAGAGTCTCAACATCTTTTTTACATCGTGGTGACAAAAAGTGGATGCAGTATTCCAAGTGTGGCCTTACTAAGGCATTGTAAAGTGATAGAGAAAAGCTACATGGCGAGTACGCTTTGCCAGGCTTTAGCGCATCTCTCTCTCCGGCAATCCTGGGCTGGAAACCTCACTTCCCCTCCCATCGCCCCGCGGGCTTGGCACGCAGGACCCGCCAGAGGGCGCCCGTCGCAAACAACCGCCGGCTTCAGACGAATTGCTTTTGCTCGCTCAGAGAAAAAGCATCTCGCCCGATGCTTACAAGGGAGGGCAGGAAGTGACCGTTCCAACGCCGAGGGCGCGCTTTGCAGGAAGCGGACTGAGTCTGCAAACGGAGCCTTCCTTCGCTGGCCCTTTCTTTCCCGCAGCTGCCCGGCTTGGGAAGCGCCTCCTTCGTCGTGGTGAAGTGAGCCAGGCCGGGAGATCTTCTCAGACTCCAGATCTGAAGGGGGGGGTGTCTTATGGGGCTAAGCTGGAAAACGCCCCCCCCCCAATATTCCCACCTTCTGCACTTCCCATTCACCTGCTCCATTTTTACAGAGCGCCCCGGACTCTTATTTCTGCCAAGAAAAGAGCTTCTTGGTTAAAAGGTTGAATTCTGCAGTTGTCTTAAAGACTCCAGCAAGTTTAGGGCTGGGTTTTCGCTAAGAGCATCTGGAATATCTGCAGTTCAGAAGATCTGGGTTTCCTGGCTTGAGAAGATGTCTCCTTTCCGGGACTTGGAGGCAAGGAAATATTCCTTTCAGCAGAAATTCAAGAGGCCAGGCTGATCTGCGTCCCATGTCAATATCCTCCTGGATATGAGTCCTTCCAAAGTAGCATCTTGGGTAGATATTTGTAAAAAAAATTAAAACTCACAAACTTCAAGATTTCTAACCCGCACACTGTTTGTGATGCCTATGTCTGGTGGAAGTTGTTTGTGTTGTGTTAATGACTAAGACATTCCCCCCCTCTTTTGCAACTATTGATGGGAGGGAAATAGTCCTCTTTGCAACACTCAAAGGATCCAGTGTCAACATTCCCAATAGATCTGAGTCTTTGCAAAGTGGCACCCTGGGTAGATAACAAAAAAAATAAACTAAATTCCCACAAACGTCAAGGTTTCTTAAGTTTCAAGAGAGATTTGCACATCCTTTGTAATATGTAGCCGGGCTGGAAGTGGTATATGTGTTAATGACCAAGATTCTTTTCTTTTCAACACCCATTGTAATTTTCATTAGTGTTTGTGACCTACCGTTTTTTGCTTTTAATCCTTGCAAGACACTCTCGTGTGTATTTTTAGGGAGGCAAATTATAAACCTATATATAATGAAAGGTTTTTTTCAGTGCTTTGGACTATAGTTTTCAACACTTTTTCATCTAAGCCTGCAAGCTGAACATAATTCCCAAAGAATTGAGTCATGGAGGGGAGAAATGCCTCATTCTTCAAGATGGCTGAAGGAGTCTCTCTCTGCGATTCTCTTCCCATGAATGAAAGTTACTTTGCAGATTCAGAAGAGCTTTTTGATTTAGTTGGACAAACAGCAAGAACTCAGCAGGGCGTTCTGAAAGAAGAAACCACACATTGTGTCCTCCATCGTTGCCCTTTCAGGGAACTCTGCTGCCAGGAGGCTAAAGGACTCCGAGACGTGTGCAGCCAACTCCACCATCTTTATGATCGGTGGCTGAGCCAAGAAGACCACGTGAAAGCTCAGATAATGGATCTGGTGGCTCTGCCCCTGGGCACTCTGTCCCAGATGGAGAACTGTGTCTGGATATGTGGAGCAGAGACCAGCTCCCAGGAAATCGGTCTGGCTGAAAGCTTCCTCTTGAGCCAACTGGAACAGAAAATGCAGCAAAAACGGCAGGTGAGATCAATATAAATGATTTTTACATGTTTCCATTCCAATATATAGTTAGGATGGTCTTAATAGAGTTCTGCCCTGGTTAGGTAAAGTACAGAGAAGAGCAACAAAGATGATGAGGGGACTGGAGGCTAAAACATACAAGGAATGGTTGCTAGAATTGGGTATGTCTAGTTCAGCGGTTCTCAACCTATGGGTCGCGACCTCATTTGGGGTCGATCGACCATTTCTCGGGGGTTGCCAAAGAAGGCGATCCGCCATTTTCTCCCCTCGGGGCGGCGCCGCGCATGCGCGCCGTGCCGCACATGCGCAGAACATTTGTGTGACGGGAGTCACCATCACACAAACGTTGAGAACCACTGGTCTAGTTTAACGAAGAGAAGGACAAGGGGGGACATGATAGCCATGTTCCAATATCTCAGGGGCTGCCACAAAGAAGAGGGAGTCAAGCTATTTTCCAAAGCACCTGAAGGCAGGACAAGAAGCAACGGATGGAAACTAATCAAGGAGAGAAGCAACCTAGAACTAAGGAGAAACTTCCTGACAGTTAGAACAATTAACCAATGGAACAACCTGCCTCCAGAAGCAGTAAATGCTCCAACACTGGAAGTTTTTAAGAAGAGACTGGACAGCCATTTGTCCGAAATGGTGTAGGGTTTCCTGCTTGAGCAGGGGGTTGGACTAGATGACCTCCAAGGTCCCTTCCAACTTTACTACTATTACTATTACCTCCTCTCCGATTTAGTGAAGAGAAGGACCAGGGGAAACATGATAGCAGTGTTCCAATATTTGAGGTGCTGTCACAGAGAGGGGGTCAAGCTATTTTCCAAAGCACCCGAAGGCCAGACAAGGAATAATGGATGGAAACTGATCAAGGAGAGATTCAATCTAGAAATAAGGAGACGTTTTCTGAAAATGAGAACAATCAATCAATGGAACAGAAGTTGCCTTCAGAAGTTGTGGGAGCTTCTTCACTGAAAACAATTAAGAAGAGACTCTGTCAGAAATGGTGTAGGATCTCCTGCTAGGGTGGGGGCTAGACTAGATAATCTACAAGGTCCTTTCCAATTCTGTTATTCTATTCTATTTCCAAGGACATATAACAAGTTGGGACAGGGGCAGTAATATTTTGTTTGCCTGCTATTATAGGCTCGTGTGCTCTTCATGGAGGTGGCCACCCATGGTTCTAAAGCAGACATGTCAAACACAAGGCCCAAGGCGAAGTGGTTTCATGTGGCCCGCGAAGCCATCCTGGAAACTGTGAGGAGACGGCCCCCTCTGCCTTCGCCCTGGCCCAGGCCAGCCAGGAGCCAATGTACAATTTTGTGGTGGCCATCTATGCTGAAACGCATTCAGTCTTAGCTCCATAAGCCCCTCCCTCCCCTGCATGGTCTGAGAGGAACAGTGAGGCTTCTCCAGTGGACCATGCCTTGGCGCTTGCCCTGGTCCCATCCCCTTCTGCCAGAGACCCTCAGATCTATCCCGCTCCTGTCCCCCACAGGCACCCTTGACACGAACGATGTAGAGCAGGCCACACCCACCCAATAGGCCACACCCATTCCATCCACATCCACCCAGTAGGCTGCACCCACCCTGGCCACACCCACCCAGTCCCGAGGCCAATCACAATGCTGATGCGGCCCTCAATGAAATTGAGTTTGACACCCCTGTTCTAAAGCATCAGGAAATATGTCACACCTCCCTCAAGAAATTGTCCTGGGGAAGATTTCCCAGGAGGACCCATCTCAGGAGACCTCATCAGGTAAAAGACGGTTCTTTTTCATGTATTGGAGTCCTCGGAAGTCTTTATTTTCCTGAGTTCCTGTTACAATAATACCTTAGTCCTGTGTGCAAAGGTTTTCTCCAACTGTTTTTAAAACATTGACATAGTAGTAGTAGTAGTAGTAGTAGTAGTAGTAAAGTTGGAAGGGACCTTGGAGGTCATCTAGTCCAACCCCCTGCTCAGGCAGGAAACCCTATACCATTTCGGACAAATGGCTCTCCAGTCTCTTCTTGAAAACTTCCAGTGTTGGAGCATTCACCGCTTCTGGAGGCAGGTTGTTCCACTGGTGAATTCCTCTGCTTTTATCTCATTCTCAGAAAATGGAGCAATAATGATTGTACCAGTGGAAAGGTCTCCTCTTTGTGATGGTGCAGAAACAAAGGTTATATTTCCAAGCCAGGTAGGAGGATCCCACCTCCCAAAGTGCAACATGATTCATTCAAGGAACATGCAACTCTCTCCACAGTGGTCTGAATCCCTTTTTCGGAGCCAATTTAATATCTCCCAGCTAATAGTTTATCCGAGCATAAGCATCTTTCACAGTGATCTAGTAATAGTAACAGTAGTAAAGTTGGAAGGGACCTTGGAGGTCATCTAGTCCAACCCCCTGCTCAGGCAGGAAACCCTACACCATTTCGGACAAATGGCTGTCCAGTCTCTTCTTAAAAACTTCCAGTGTTGGAGCATTTACCGCTTCTGGGGTCAGGTTGTTCCACTGGTTAATTGTTCTCAGGAAGTTTCTCCGTAGTTCTAGGTTGCTTCTCTCCTTGATTAGTTTCCACCCGTTGCTTCTTGTCCTGCCTTCAGGTGCTTTGGAAAATAGCTTGACTCCCTCTTCTTTATGGCAGCCCCTGATCTGATACCATCCCTCCATTCATAGCATCTCAAGCTTCTTGAGGACATCTCCCAACATGTTCATCTTGTTGTTCAGTGAAGATTGTGTATCTCCCACTGGGCAACGTAAGACATTAAAGTGTCATATAGGAATATCCCAATACTTGTTTAATGAACGTGCCTCAGGACTTGATCAAAATGAATATAAGAGATGTTCCCAACAAGTGGAATATTTGCCATTAGAATAAGGAATTTGTGAATATTTTCTACAACTGTACGTTAACAAGGAGTGTTTTTGTACTTCAGATCGCCGTGTCCTTTGAAGATGTAACTGTGTTTTTCTCTGAGGAGGAGTGGGCTCTGCTGGATTTTGACCAAAAATCCCTATACAGAGAGGTCATGCTGGAAAATGCTAAGAATGTGGAGTCCTTGAGTAAGTGATTTATTTTGCTCCAGGTTGAAATTGGTGAGGAAGATATATTCTGATAATAGCTAAGCAGCTTATCAATTACTTGGAAGAGATTCAGGTTTATACTTTTCCTGGAGATAACTGATATAACCTTATGTGCATTGCACCTAAAATCATAGATGTGAGATGGGTAGCTATATGAATCAAAATAATCTCAGCATTAGTCACCAGGATGTAAAAAAGATGTTGAGACTCTAGAAATACAGAGAAGAGCAACAAAGATGATTAGGGGACCGGAGGCTAAAACATATAAAGAACGGTTGCTGGAATTGGGTATGTCTAGTTTAACGAAGAGAAAGACAAGGGGGAACATGATAGCAGTATTCCAATATCTCAGGGGCTGCCATAAAGAAGAGGGAATCAAGCTATTTTCCAAAGCATCTGAAGGCAGGACAAGAAGCAACAGGTGGAAACTAATCAAGAGAAGCAACCTAGAACTAAGGAGAAACTTCCTGACAGTGAGAACAATTAACCAGTGGAACAGCCTGCCTCCAGAAGCAGTAAATGCTCCAACACTGGAAGTTTTTAAGAAGAGATTGGACAGCCATTTGTCCGAAATGGTGTAGGGTTTCCTGCCTGAGCAGGGGGTTGGACTAGATGACCTCCAAGGTCCCTTCCAACTTTACTACTATTATATTATATATTGTTAAGGACTGTGTTAAATAAATAAGATAATACAAAACCTAATACAAAACTACATAAAAGAAGGTTAGAAAGTGCAACCCCCCCCACTAAGTGTCTTCCCTTTTCATCTCCAATTAATATTAATCAAGATTAACAATAGATCATTGACTCTTAAAATACAGCCCCAATACCTTTTCATTCCATATCTTACCCTATTTTCTACAAAGTCTTCTCTAAATCTTCAGCTAGCCTTATTAATCAACAAAGATGTAGTAAAAATTAACAACAAAACACCTAATAATATAAATATGTAATCCCCATTCCATTTAGTCTAGGTTCCCCTCATCCCCCTTATCAACTATTAAACATTACCTGAAATATTAACTCCTTATTTTGATATGCCATTATATATTTCTAAAAGAAAAACGATCCAGTCCGGATAATCATTAAACATCACAAAGAATAACCTACTATTTAACCGTACACAAGTAAACCAGTCTTACATATTTTTTCCTTCTCCCTCCCAGCCATCTTTAAATCCTATTAATACTCCAAAATTATTAAAAAGAAGAGGTTTGAGTAAACCTTGAATCCTGAAAAGCTGCATTTACTACTCAGAGATGGTGGAATCCACAACTTCTAGCTCAGTGGTTCTCAACCTGTGGGTCGGGACCTCATTTGGGGTCGCACGACCATTTCACGGGGGTCGCCAAACAACGCAGTCCGGCATTTTTCCCCCTTTTCCTTAGCTGTTCTACTCCCTTCTATTCTATTGGCTTTTGAGTCTAATTCTATTGGCTTTCAAAAGCCAATAGGAATTGTCCAGGCTGTCTCTGCCCTGCTGAGCCTGCCAAAAGTCCCATTCTGCAAACGGTGCTGCACCAGTTGAGTAGTCCTCGACTTATGACCGGTTGGGGGTCGCGGCATTAAAAAGGTTGAGAACCACTGTTCTAGCTGATCACAAACAGGTGCAGAAAACAATAGTTTCTACTGTCTGCTCACAAAAATCAACTGTCCAAAATACATGTAGGAAATTTCCAGATCTCTCTTTTTTTTTTCCAGAGACAATTTCAGTAGTCCACATCTCACATCCAGCTGCCAATTTCAAACATGAAAAATGCAGGCTTTGGTTCTCCTCGCCTGACTGGAAGTCATCATCCACAAATCCAAGTAATATTAATATTAAAATAATAATTGCCTCTCACACTTGTTCTGGTAGGAGCTATCTCAAGAAAGGAACAAGCACCTTCTGTGACGGTTTCCAACGTTGCTTACGTGGGTTTGCAAGTCCCCTTAGAACAGTGTTTCTCAACCTCGACCATTTTAAGGCATGTGGACTTCAACTCCCAGAATTCCACAGCCAGCAATGCTGGCTGTGGAATTCTGGGAGTTGAAGTCCACATGCCTTAAAATGGTCAAGGTTGAGAAACACTGCCTTAGAACTGTCTTTTACATTTCTTTTTTTTTTCTGTCTACAATAGCATTTGAAAATCCTGTGTTGCTTCTGATTTGTGCATCAACCCTTAAATTGGGGTTTGCAGGACAGATACCAAAGAACCACAGTGCAAGAGAGATGACAGCGCTGAAAATAACCCCTTAGGGAAACTTTATTAAAAATTGTCCCTGAATATATACCGGGAGATTCCACCCCCCCCCCAAATAGCTTGGGGGGGGGAGGGCAAACAGCAAGTAATTCTCCTTTGGGTTGCTTACCCTGTAGTTGGATAATTATTAAGAAGGAAGTTAATATTTGCATTTACATTGATTTGGAAAGAAGATATTATGAATAAACAGGCAAAAATTGAAAATAAACATTGCGAGGAATGTGCTTAGTGGGTTTCTTTGCCTTGTTCGCTTTTGGACACACAATCCTCAGTATGAAACTGATTAAGGCAGTGTTTCTCAACCTTGACAATTTTAAGGCATGTGGACTTCAACTCCCAGAATTCCACAGCCAGCTGGCTGTGGAATTCTGGGAGTTGAAGTCCACATGCCTTAAAATTGTCAAGGTTGAGAAACACTGGATTAAGGTCTGGTCAGTTTCAGGCAGCAGCACAAGTGGGAAAGTTCTAATTAACTAATTGTCACAGAGCAGAGTTTGTTAACTTGTGGTTAGCCCTTATTAAAGAACCATTGGGCCGGGCAGAAAAACTTTTCAAGTACAATAGATGTAGCTCATTTAAGCAATCTCACCACTTGGAGGAGAAAAAAAAGGATAAAGGTCATATTTGAGGTGGCGCAGCAGTTAGAGTGCAGTACTGCAGGCCACTTTAGCTGACTGTGTTCAGCAGGTCAGCAGTTCAAATCTCACTGGCTCAAGGTTGACTCAGCCTTCCATCCTTCCGGGGTAGGTAAAATGAGGACCCAGATTGTTGGGGGCAATGTAAATATATATATATATACATTGCTTACTGGTGTACACTGCTCAGAGAGTGCTCGCACTTAAAGCGGTATATAAGTCTCATAAATAAATAAATATTATCCTGATTGTCTCACACTGTTTATCTCAAAGTTGTTACTGTGGGTAAACGCAGATCTCTATATGACTGCCAACAAATGCAAGGACAGATGAGGATGAAGGAACACTCCTGAAGTGCACATCTGGATTTTTTTTTCCCAAGGGAGGATGACTTTTATTTATCAATCACAATATAGCTGGAGGGGACCTTTGAGGTGTTCTAGTCCAGCCCCGCACTCAAGCAGGAGACCCGATACCAGTGGTTCTCAACCTGTGAGTCGGGACCCCATTTGGGGTCGAACGACCATTTCACGGGGGTCGCCAAACAACGCAGTCCGCCATTTTTTTCCCCTTTTATTCTATTGGCTTTTGAAAGCCAATAGAATAGACTCTCTTGAATAGAGTCTAATTCTATTGGCTTTCAAAAGCCAATAGGAATTGTCCAGGCGGTCTCTGCCCTGATGACCCCGCCAAAAGTCCCATTCTGCAAACGGTGCTGCACCAGTTGAGTAGTCCTCGACTTACGACCGGTTGAGTAGTCCTCGACTTACGACCGGTTGGGGTCGCAGCATTAAAAAGGTTGAGAACTACTGCCCTATACCATTTCAGACGTGGCCGTCCAGTCTCTTCTTAAAAACTTCCAAAGAATCCCAGTATCTAAATCCAGTTTCCTTGTAGCAACAGCATCTCCATTTTCTTTAGATTTAATTTCAACTTGCTTTCTTCCACATTGAAACTGATTATTAAGCAACAAAGCCCACTTCACTCCAGAACTCAAGATGCTACTCTCTACAGGTTTCGTCTTGACACTAAATTATTTTCTCCAATGGGTGAATTATTTTCTCCATACTTCAGGTGCCTCCAAGCAGTCTGACATTCTGGAAATAACCGAAAAGATCCGCAATACAGTAAAGAAAACCCCCAGTCATATACTCAGCACATGATACAATAGTATTGAAATAAACATGTAGCTAATATGTTGGTATTTTTACTTTGTACCTTAAACATCCGATGAATTTTCTTTTTTTCTCTCTTTTTCTTCCAAACAGTTGACAGGCAGCAACCAGAGGATTATAAAGAATCAGGAGTGAATTCTTTGAAACAAACTGAAACTGGAGAAGGGCTATTGCAGAATCAGGAGAAGCCAAACATGACTGAAAACCAGCTGAATAATAGGATCAAGAAATTCTCTAATTTTCAGTATGGAGAAAATCGCACCTTCCATACACAATATCACAAAGAAAGAGGGAACTGTTTAAAGCCTGAAAAAATGTTCATCCCTAAATCAGATGTCCATGAATATAGCAGTATCTGCACTAAAGAGAAGCAGCTTGAGTGCAAGGAACATGGAAAAAATAATAATTTAAATATCAATCTTACTTTGCATGAAAGCATTGAGATACCAGAATCACATAAATGTTCAGACAGTAGGAAAAGCTTTAATGGGAGCACTACTTTTAACACCCAGAAAACAATTCATAGAGTGGAGAAGTCATATAAAAGCAGAGAACGCAGAACAAGTTTCTATGCAACCAATGATCATATATTACACAAAAAGTCCTACCCAGGAAAGAAAATTTATAAATGCGTGTATTGTGGAAAGCGGTTCTGTACAAGTATTGATCTTACTTCCCATAAAAGTATCCACACAGAGGATAAGCCACTTAGATGCACAGGCTGTGGAAAGAACCTCACCAGAAGTAGCTCCCTTACTGCACATACAAGGATCCACATACGGGATAAGCAACAAAAGTGCATGGAATGCGGAAAGAATTTCAGCCAGAGTGCTTCGCCTAATTCCCATGAACTGATCCATACACGGATGAAACCGTATCAATGCTTGACATGTAGAAAGCGATTTTGTACAAGCAGGGATCTCGTTTCTCATAAGAGGATCCACACAAGGGAGAAACCATTTAAATGCAAGAAGTGTGGGAAACACTTTACAATGAGGCGTGGTCTGATTTCCCATGAAAGGATTCACACAAGGGAGAAAGCATATAAATGCGTGGACTGTGGAAAAACCTGTGTGAGTAGAAGTGATCTTACTTCCCATAGGAGGATCCACACGGGGGAAAAACCGTATCAATGCACAGAGTGTGGAAAAAGCTTCAGTTGGAGCAGTAACCTTACCTCCCATAAAAGAATCCACACAGGGGAAAAGCCGTATCAATGCATGGAGTGCACAAAGAGCTTCAGAGACATGAGTTCCTTTACGTCCCATAAAAGGTTCCATACAGGGGAGAAGCCCTACAAGTGTACGGAGTGTGGAAAGAGCTTTACTCAAAACAGTCAACTTACTTCCCATAAAAGGGTCCACACAGGGGAGAAACCGTATAAATGTACAGACTGTGGAAAGAGCTTCACCACAAGTGGTTCTCTTACTGCCCATAAACGGAATCACACAGGAGAGAAACCGTTCAAGTGCATGGAATGCGGGAAGAGTTTCAGCCAAAGTACTTCCCTTACTTCTCATGAAAAGATCCATACAGGGATGAAACCATTCCAATGCTTGCAGTGTGAAAAGAGATTCGGTACAAGCAGCGATCTCGTTTCCCATAAAAGGATCCACACAGGGGAGAAACCGTTTAAATGTATGGACTGTGGGAAAAGCTTTACAATGAGACGTGGTCTTACTTCCCACGAGAGGATCCATACAGGGGAGAAACCATACCAATGCCCAGAGTGTGAAAAGTGCTTTATAAGTAGGAGTGATCTTACTTCCCATAAAAGGATCCACACGGGGGAGAAGCCGTATCAATGCCTGGAGTGTGGAAAAAGCTTCAGTTGGAGCAGCAACCTTACTTCACACAAAAGGATTCACACAGGGGAGAAACCATATAAGTGCATGCAGTGTGGAAAGAGTTTCAGTCAGAGCACGTCCCTTACTTCCCATGAAAGGGTCCATACAGGAATGAAACCATTTCAATGCATGGAGTGTGGAAAGGGATTCAGTACAAGCAGTGAACTCATTTCCCATAAAAGGATTCACACAGGAGAAAAGCCTTACCAGTGTGTGGACTGTGGAAGGAGCTTTAGAGACTTGAGTTCTTTTACTTCTCATAAAAGGTTTCACACTGGAGAGAAGCCCTATAAATGCATGGAATGTGGAAAGAGCTTTACTCAAAGCAGTCAGTTTACCTGCCATAAAAGGATCCACACAGGGGAGAAGCCGTACAAATGCACAGACTGTGGAAAGAGCTTCACCACCAGCGGTTCCCTCACTGCCCATAAAAGGATCCACACGGGGGAGAAACCATATAAGTGCACGGAATGCGGGAAGAGTTTCAGCCAAAGTGCTTCCCTTAGTTCCCATGAAAGGATCCATACTGGGATGAAACCGTATCAGTGCATGGATTGTGGAAAGACCTTCAGTCAAAGCAGTCACCTTAGTTCTCATAAGAAGATCCACTCGGGGGAGAAGCTGTATAAGTGCACAGAGTGTGAAAAGTGCTTTCATACAAGCAGTTCCCTGATATCACATAAAAGGATCCATTCTGGCGAGAAACCGTATCATTGCATGGACTGTGGAAAAAGTTTCATTACAAGCAGTTCCCTTAATTCACATAGGAGGATCCACACGGGAGAGAAACCATATCAATGTCAGGAGTGTGGAAAGAGTTTCAGTCACAATACTTCCCTCTCTTTTCATAAAAGGATCCACACAAGAGAGACCCCACCTGTCAGCATATAATATGGAAGAAGCTGCATTGAGAAGAGTGAACTTCTGATAAAAGAAGCCACAAAGAGGAGTGGCCATACAGATGTACGCAGTGTGGAAAGGACGTAATGTTCCATTTCTGATCACAGTGTCAAAATAGAAATGGAATGGATTATGCTTAAATGTTAGTAAAGGAAGGAGAAGAGAAAGGGTAACACATAGATGAGACAATTATAGGAAAATTTTTGAAGAGCTTCAATTTACTACAATGAGACCAAGATTATGTGATAGGTACATTTATAGATGAATTTATGGGGTCTCACTAAACAAATTCCTGAAATATAATCCCATTGCATCAAGATACTCAGTATGCCCAATTTTTTATTAAACAGATTTTTATTAGGAGAGTTGTTTATCTGAAATTTAACTGTTTCTCTAAGGCCTACAGTAGAGATCTCTCTCTTTTCTTCTTCTATCCAGGTGGATAAATATCCACTTATCTCTTCTTCAGATACCTCCAGTCCTATTAGTTTCTATATTCCCCGCTCCTCCTTTTCCAGTAAAACTACTTGTCAACAATTTCTCATATTTTTGTTGTTCCCTTTCGAAACTGGAAAGAGCATGTTTGAGTGTGAGAGATAATGGTTGGTGCTTGTAAACAAGAGCCAGTCTGCTTCCTTATTTTAATGGCAATGACATTTTATTAAATCTGATTTACATTATTTTATTCTTGACCTGTTTCTTTTTGAAGCATGATTTTGGCAGTCATGCTGATATGTGGCTGATATGACATTTATTGACAGGGCAGAAATAACTCATAATTGGATAACTAAGAGACTTTACTTCAGTTAACTACTTAATATCCCAAAACCATTGGGAAAAAAATGCCATACTTTGGCCAAGCTTGTAGATGATACTGAAATATTGAAAATAGGGAAAAGTATAAAGTGTGAAGAATTTGAGAGGAATCTCTTTAAATAGACAGAACAGCCAATTCAGTGGACAATGTAGTTCTCTTGCAGAACGTTGAATGTGATGTGTATTTGGGCATAATTTCTTAATTTGACATAGATGTTGTTGAATATTGCGCTGTAATTAAACAAGGATTAGGTTACAACGGAGACCCCAGTGAAGCTATTGACTCAGTATGTGGCAGATAAGAAAACAAACAAACCTCCCATTAGGGATCTGTAGGAAAAGAACGGAAGTAAAACAGCTGCAACTGTTATTCCCTTCTACAGTATATGAATATTGTGTATAGTTCTGATTGCCCCATTTGAAAAATGATATAAAGGAGATGGAGAAAGTTCAAAAGCAGCCATCCAAATGATTAGTGACTTGATTATGTTTGTGTTTGGCGCCCTCAAGCAAAACCTAACAAAATTAAGCACCCAGGTACTGTAGAGAAGGTGTGGCAGAACTCGTGGATGGAGTTAAAAGAGGACTACCATACTTTCCGGCGTATAAGACGACTTTCAAAAGCGTTGAAATTGGCGCCGAAGTCAGGAGTCGTCTTATATGCTGGAAATAACAGTAGTTTCTGGCGTATAAGACGACTTTCTAGGCATGCAACTCGGCGCCGAAGGGGGGTCATCTTATACGCCGGGTCGCCTTATACACTGGAAAATACAGTAAGCCTAGAATTCCTATGTAGCCCCAAGTGGACTAAGTCCAGCCCTTGAATTCTACTGCCCATTATCTAACTACAAACAGGTACTAAGCGCTAGTTGGCTATTAATCTTCTCAGTTAACAGTTAGCATCAACTTGTAGTTAGATAAGGGACAAGCAAATTCAAGGGATTTGGACTTAGTCCCCTTGTGGCTATCTAGGAATTCTAGGCTGATTCCTCTTTTAACTCCACTCCCATATTCTGCCACTCCTTGTACAGGTGCAAAACTTTAGGTTCCAGGGATCATCCAATTAAAGTTTAATAGGAGGAGATTTAGAATAGACAGAAAAATGTTTTTTTCACCTTGTCCATTATTAACCGTAACTCTGCTAAGAAAACTGCATGTATTCAGTCTCCAAGATTTAAATTCCACTCAATAGTATTTATCTCTAGCAATGGTTTGGATTTGCCTATATTCATATGTATATGTGTATTATTTTATATATATTATTTTTCACAATGTTAGCTATGCAGAGTCACGCATGTAAGATAGATGGCCATAGAACTCCATTAAAGAAAAATAAATGTACTGATTTTTATGTAGTTATGTATTTTTTAATTATTATTTAAAATGTAGTCCTCCAAGCCCTATGAATCCACTTTTGACTCCTAGTTGTATCTGGTTTCCATTACAATCTTTTTCTTCTATTATCATTACATTTGCTTTTTCAAAAGTTCCCCCAAGCTTCCTGCACACCTATACATGTAGTCCTCAACTTATAACAGTTCTTTTAGTGACCATTCAACTAATGGCACTGAAAACAGTGACTTAACCATTTTTCACGCTTACGGCCTTTCTAGCATCACCATGATCATGTGATCAAAACTCAGATGCTTGGCAACTGCTTCATACTTACAACCGTTGCTGTGTCCCAGGGTCATGTGATCCCCTTTTGCAACCTTTTGACAAGCAAAATCAATGGGGAAGCCAGATTCACTTAATAACCATGTTGCTAATTTATCAACTGCCGTGATTCACTTAACTACTATGGCAAGAAATCTTGGCACAAGAGAAGCAAGCACTCCGCAAAGCCAGAGCTGTAAATGCTGAAGTAACAGTGTCTACAGTTCTTTGTTCAGTATGTGGTAAAACATTCCGTGCTAACATCGGTCTTATCAGCCACCTATGGACACATCGTTGATGGCCCATAATCTACAAGATGTCAAGGTCCTCATCGAAATTGATGGATGAACAACACATGGCAAGAAAGGTCGTAAAATGGGGCAAAAGTCACTTAACAAATGTCTCGCTTAACAACATAAATTTAGGGCTCAATTGTCATAAGTTGAGGATTACCTGTATTTCCCCTCACTTCTGCAATTCTTGAGGTAATTTTTTTAAGAACTGGATGTCTTTTGAGAAATACTCCCATTGGGGAATTCGATTCTTTTCAATATTCTGGATTTTTCTTTCCTTCAGGACTCCCACAGCTTCTCCTCATAGATGTCATAGCCACCATCTTTCCTCACTTCAGATCAGGGGCTGTTCCTCAAGGACAAAGTTTGCTAATAGTGTATCTTCAATAGAGTAGAAGGCAAGTCCTACCCTGGAAAAGGACTTTAGGGCAGAATCTCTCAGCACTACTATTATTATTTTTATTATATTACTATTATAATGTTGAAAGAAAAGTCTTCATCCTGGTTCATCCAAGCCGGGAATAAACAAACAACATGGTGATTGCTTTAGAAAGGTTGCAGTTTATTGAAGAACCAGACCGAAAAATGGTTCTGGCAGGAAAGAGGAGAGAAAAGCACATGTGGGTAGTAGGTTTTTATACCCTTTGAAGCCTTTTATTTGAAATAGTTTCCTGTTCCTGTTTTAGGTTTTGTATTTCCTGTATCACGTATCCTGACCTGAGTCTGGGTGTGCCCTTTGGCCTTTGTGAGTTAATCCTACCATGTCCTGTCTCAGGCGGGGTATGCAGATTTTAGGTCTTTGTCTTTGTCTTGATCTCCTAGCTGGGGCCTTTCTGATGGTTTATATCTGCATTCGTACAGAGCTGGCTTCTGCTTGGGACAGAGAGATTTGGGGGCAGGGTTGGTTTCTGCTTTTAAAATCCTTTTGAGGAAATATATTTTTCTGCCCTTTTAATAATATTTCCTTCTCAGGGGGGAGGGCTGACTTCCCACAATAATATTACTAATGTTGTTTTACCAGGAGAAGAGGACATCTTTGTCACTCGGTTCTTCCTCACAAACAGGCGGGAACTCTTAACCCCACCCCTTCCAACGGTTCTTTTCTGATTAGCCCCGCCCCTTCCAACTGTTCCTTTCTGAAGGTTCTCAAGAATCTCAAAGGGCCCTTTCCCTGAGGGGAATCTGCCAGGATAGCAAAGGAAAGGGCCAGAAGGGCCATTCACTCCTCATAAGCCCTTTCGAGGGAGAAGCACTCACTCCCTTTAACCCTTGGACAGCCTGGAGAAACCAATGGCTTTGACTGTACAAATAGTCCTCGATTTACAACCACAGTTGAGCCCAAAATTTCTGTTGCTAAGTGAAACATAAGTCACCTGTAATGGAGGACAGTTCAGTTATTGGCCCCTTTTTAAAGGATTCCACCTCCCTCGTAGAGGATTAAATTAAATTAATTCCATACAGAAATTTTCCACATTGCTTTTTCTGCCAGCTCATTGCCATTTCCCATTTCAGAAATTCCTTTCCTGAGATATTTGTGCGCTTTTGCTCAAAGGTACATTTTGATTGCAAATACTCACAACTGAGCCCAAAATTTCTGTTAAGTAAAACATTTGTTAAGCAGGTTTTGCCCCATTTTATAACCTTTCTTGACACCAGGTGTTAAATGAACCACTGCGGTTGATAAGTTAGTAACCCAGTTGTTAAGTGAAACTGGCTTCCCCCTTGACTTTACTTGTCAGAAGATCGCAAAAGGTGGTCACATGACCTTGGTAATAAATATGAACTAGCTACCAAGCATCTGAATTTTGATCACATGATCATGGGGATGCTGCAAAGAACATAGCTGCGAAAAATGGTTGTAAGTCACATTTTTCAGTGCTGTAGTAACTTTGAGCAGTCACTAAACAAACTGTTGAAAGTCAAGGACTAGCTATAATTGTTTTTATGGGCCATTCTCTGACTTCCATGTGGGCTCCAGACCTAAGTTGTCTAAGAATCAGAGAGGTGTCAGCTGATGGTTTCCTGGATAGAAATTTTCTGGACAGAAGCTGGAATGGAATGAAATAACAGCATAGGAAGGGACCTTGGAGGTCATCTAATCCAACCCCCTGCCCAGGCAGGAAACCCCATACCATTTCAGACAAATGGTTGTCCAATCTCTTCTTAAAAACTTCCAGCGTTGGAGCATTCACAGCTTCTGGAGGCAAGTTGTTCCACTGATCAATTATTCTGTCAGGAAATTTCTTCTTAGTTCTACCTTGCTTCTCTCCTTGATTAGTTTCCACCCGTTGCTTCTTGTCCTGCCTTCAGGTGCTTAATAATAATAATAATAATAATAATAATAATAATAATAATAATAATAATAATAAAGTTGGAAGGGACCTTGGAGGTCATCTAGTCCAATCCCCTGCTCAGGCAGGAATCCCTATACCATTTCAGACAAATGGCTGTCCAGTCTCTTCTTTAAAACTTCCAGCGTTGGAGCATTCACAGCTTCTGGAGGCAAGTTGTTCCACTGATTAATTGTTCTCACTGTCAGAAAATTCCTCCTTAGTTCTAGGTTGCTTCTCTCCTTGATTAGTTTCCATCCGTTGTTTCTCGTCCTGCTTTCAGGCGCTTTGGAGAAGAACTTGACTCCCTCTTCTTAGACCATGAGCTCTAATCCTCTTTTATGCACAGAAGCTGGTTAGATGACTTTGAACTCTCAGTCTGACCCACCTCGCAGGGCTGACATTCTTTGGAAAACAAGAGTACAAAGGGAGAGACGATGAGCTCTAATCCCCATTTATCCCCATCCCTTGCTTCTTGTCCTGCCTTCAGGCGCTTTGGAGAATAGCTTGACTCCCTCTTCTTTGGGGCAGCCCCTGAGATATTGGAACACTGCTATCATGTCCCCCCTCATCCTTCTCTTCATTAAACTAGACATATCCAATTCCAGCAGCCGTTCCTTATATGTTTTACCCTCCAGTCCCCTAATCATCTTTGTTGCTCTTCTCTGCACTCTTTCTAGTCTCAACAACTTTTTTACATCGTGGTGACCAAAACTGGATGCAGAATTCCAAGTGTGGCCTTACCAAGGTGTTTTAAAATGGTAGAAAGGAGTAGAAGAGCTACAAAGCGAGTCTTCCTTGCCAGGGCTCTAGTCTAGCGGCATCTCCCTCTCCACCAATCCTGGGCTGGAAACCTCATCTCCCCGTCCATCGCCCAGCAGGCTTGGCACGCAAGACCCGCCAGAGGGCGCCCGTCGCAAACAACCGCCGGGTTCAGACGAATTGCTTTTGCTCGCTCCGGGGAGAAGCGTCTCGCCCGATGCTTACAAGAGAGGGCAGGAAGTGACCGTTCCAACGCCGAGGGCGCGCTTTGCAGGAAGCGGACCGAGTCTGCAAACGGAGCCTTCCTTTCTTTGCTGGCCCTTTCTTTCCCGCAGCTGCCGAGCTTGCGAAGCGCCTCCTTCCCTCCTCACCGGGAAGCAGCGGATTCTGGTGAACTGCCGAGCCAGACTCGGGTGATTTCAGTCTCCGGATCTGGAGAGAAGCTCTTCTGGAAACCACCCCCCCAAGATCCCCGCTACTCATTTGCCCCCTTTTTAAGGGGTGCCGAGGACGCTTATTTCTGCAAGGAGAGCCCCTTCTGGGTAAAAGGTTGAGTTCTGCAGAAGCTGAGAACCCCTCCCACGTCTTCCGTATGATTGTCAAAAGCGCTAGTTGTCTGCTGGGTGCATCTGCAGGTTAGAGGATCTGGGTGTCCTGATCTTGAATGTTGTTCTCTCCAGGACTGGAAGCCAAGAAATATTCCATTCTGCAGAAGCCCAAAGAGCTAGGCTTATCTGCATCCCATGTCAATATTCTCCTGATGCCTGAGACACTTATTTCTGCAAGGAGAACCTCTTCTAGGTTAAAATTCAGTTCTGCACAAGCTCCCTCCGGAGGACTTTGTTGTCTGCTGAGGGTTTGTTGTCTGCTGAGAGCATCTCAGGATCTTCCTGGCTTGGGATCTTTCCAGGACTTGGAGACAAGGAAATATTCCTTTCAGCAGAAGTTCAAGGGGCCAGACTGATCTGCATCCCATGTTGATAGTGCCCTGGATATCTGAGTCCTTCCAAAATAGCACCTTGGGTAGATATTTGCACAAAAAAAAAAAATTAAAACCCACAAACTTGGAGATTTCTAACCTGCACACTGTTTGTGATGTCTGTCTCTGGTGGAAGTTGTTTATGTTGTATTAATGACTAAGATTTTTTTCCCTTCCTTTGCAATTATTTTCATTAGCAGTTGTAATCTGCTGTGTTTGAATAATAGAATGACAGAATAACAGAGATGGAAGGTCCTCTTGTCCAAACTCCTGCTCTGGTAGGACCTCCTATAAGTACCATTTCAGACAAATGGTTGTCCAATCTCTTTTAAAAATCTCCAGTGTTAGAGCAGTCACAACTTCTGGAGGCAAGTTGTTCTAACTGTCAGGAAATTTCTCCTTAGTTCTAGGCTGCTTCTCTCCTTGATTAGTTTCCATCCGTTGCTTCTTGTTTTACCTTGTTTTTTATTCTTTGCAGGCCACTCAGGAACATAAATTACAAATTGAATAACGAAAGAAAGTTCTTCTCAGCATGTTGGATTATAGGTCTCTACTCATTTTCATCTTATCCTGGAAGCTGAATTTTACTTCCCATAGAACCTAAATCATTCAAGCGAGAAAGACCTCGTTCTCCAAGATGGCAGAAGGAGGATCTCCTTCCCATTCTGCTCCCGTGAATGGAAGTTGCTTTGTAGATTCAGAAGAGCCTTTGGATTTGTTTGGACAAGCAGCAAGGACCAAGCAGAACATTCTGGAAGAAGTAGTCATACATTGTGTTGTCCAGTGTTGCCCTTTCAGGGAGCTCTGTTGCCAGGAAGCTGAGGGACTCCAAGTCATATGCAGCCAACTCCATCATCTTTACGAACGGTGGCTGAAACAAGAGAGCCGCGTGAAAGCTCAGATGATAATCCTGCAACAGTCCTTGGCCACCCCACCCACTGAGCTGGAGAGCTGTGTCTGGATGCATGGAGCAGAGATCAGCTCCCAGGAAGTGACCTTAGCCAAAGGTTTCCTCCTGAGCCATGTGGAGCAGAAAACACAGCGAAAGCAGCAGGTGAGATCATCAAAACGATATGAATGAAGTCTTAAATATAATAACGGCTTTAATAAAATGTATCCTTGATAGATAAATGATTCCATCCTCCTTCATCCCTTATTTCCAAGGTCATATTAACAAGCTGGCGCAGGGGGCAGTAATGTTCTCTTCACTGCTATTTCAGATTCATGGCCATTTGATGGAGGTGGCAACCCATGGTTCTAAAGCATCAGGAGATGTGTCACATCTCTCTCAGGAAATTGTCTTGAGACAAGAGGACCCATCATCTCAGGAGACACCATCAGGTAAAAAAAGGGCTCTTTTTGATGTATTGGGACTCCTCAGGAGTATGCACTGCCCAAAGTCTTTATATTCATGAGTTTTGTTTATTGTATTAGCCCTGTGTACAAAATTTTAATAATACTAATACTAATAATACGAAGAAGAAGAAGAAGAAGAAGAAGAAGAAGAAGAAGAAGAAGAAGAAGAAGAAGAAGAAGAAGAAGAAGAAGAAGAAGAAGAAGAAGAAGAAGAAGAAGAAGAAGAAGAAGAAGAAGAAGAAGAAGAAGTAGTAGTAGTAGTAGTAGTAGTAGTAGTTGGAAGGGACCTTGGAGGTCATTTAGTCCAACCCCTGCTCAGGCAGGAAACCCTATACCATTTCGGACAAATGGCTGTCCAGTCTCTTCTTAAAAACTTCCAGCGTTGGAGCATTCACCACTTCTGGAAGCAAGTTGTTCCACTGGTTAATTGTTCTAACTGTCAGGAAATTCCTCCTTAGTTCTAGGTTGCTTCTCTCCTTGATTAGTTTCCATCTGTTGCTTCTTGTCCTGCCTTCAGATGCTTTGGAGAATAGCTTGACTCCCTCTTCTTTGGGGCAGTTCCTGAGATATTGGAACACTGCTATCATGTCCCCCCTCGGTTTTCTCCAACTGTTTTTTAAAATATGTCTTTCCTCTGCTTTTATCTCATTCTTAGAAAGCACAACAATGGTGATTAAAGCAATGGAAAGGTCTCCTCGTTGTGGTGGAGCAGAAACAGTGGCTGTACTTCCAACTCAGGTAGGAGGGTCCCATCTCTCAAAGTGCAACATGATTTATTCAAGGAACATGTAATTCCAAAGCAGTTTGAGTCTTTTCCAGCATCAATTTAATAGCTCACATCTAACCAATTATTCAGAGCATTTTCCCAGTGTTCTGATAACATCCATACATTCATAGCATTTCAAGTTTCTTTTTGAGGACATCTCCCAACTTTTTCTAGTTGTTCAGTATAAGACTGTGTATGTCCTATTGGACAATATAAAACATTAATTAAAATATCATATAGTAATATCCCAATATTTGCTTGATAAGCAACCTTGCAGGAAGTATTGGAATCCATTTTGCACCCTCATCTTGTCTCAGGAGTAGATCAAGAAGAATTTAAGAGTTGCTCCCAATGAGTGGAATATTTACCATTAGAATAAAGAATTTGCAAGTATTTTCTGGAAGTGTACGTTAACAAGGAGTGTTTTTGTACTTCAGATCCCTGTGTCCTTTGAAGATGTAACTGTGTTTTTCTCTGAGGAGGAGTGGGCTCTGCTGGATTTTGACCAAAAATCCCTGTACAGAGAGGTCATGCTGGAAAATGCTAAGAATGTGGAGTCCATGGGTAAGGGATCCATTTTGTTCTGGGTTGAAGTTGGTGGAGAAGGTATATTCCAATGAGAGCTAAGCAGCTTATTGATTTCTTGGGGGGGGGGGAAATGCTAAGATTGTGAATTTCATGGGTAAGCAATCCATTTTGCTCTGAATTGAAATATGTGGAGAAAGTATATTTTTACTAGTTTCTCAGAGGTGATTAGGGTTTATACTTTTCCTAGAGAGAATGGAAATGACCGTATGCGCATCATGGTCAGAGTCACATACATAATACAGACAGCTATGTAAATCAAAATAAATAAATAATTTCAATAGAAAGTTTGGATTGGTTACAAGAAGGCATTTGATTCCCTGCCACATATTTGGATAATCAAATGTCTGGAAATAAGAGAAGTTTGTAGAAACATCTGAAGCTTTGTGAAATGATCAATAGCTCAATAGAAAACATAGTTGCTAGTCAATGGTGTTAGACTGGGAGGGGAATCTTCTAAGGCAGTGGTTCTCAACCTTTTTAATGCCGTGACCCCCCAACCGGTCGTAAGTCAAGGACTACTCAACTGGTCATAAGTCGAGGACTACTCAACTGGTGCAGCACCGTTTGCAGAATGGGACTTTTGGCGGGCTCAGCAGGGCAGAGACAGCCTGGACAATTCCTATTGGCTTTTGAAAGCCAATAGAATTAGACTCTATTCAAGAGAGTCTATTCTATTGGCTTTCAAAAGCCAATAGAATAAAAGGGAGTAGCACAGCTAAGGAAAAGGGGGGAAAAATGGCGGACTGCATTGTTTGGCGACCCCCGTGAAATGGTTGTTTGACCCCAAATGGGGTCCCGACCCACAGGTTGAGAACCACTGTTCTAAGGAGGCTCACTAACACTTTTGTCAATGCATTGATTCCTCTCTTAATACTCTCTGAACAAATCAAGCCATAGCTAACAAGAACATGTGCCAGGTTACTTGATCTTATTTCTATTGGGCATCTTAATTCATTTTTACCATTTTTCTTCTGTGGTTAATAAGAGTGGCACATTTGCTCAGCGCAAAGTAGTGCAATATTTGGCTGTACATTCAAATTGTATTGAGCAGCAATTTCATTTCAAATGATGTTTTTGCACACAATTGTAGAATGTGCATGTAGTTGAAGAAAGAAACAGAGGGACTAATTCTGGCTGCACAAGACCAAGCTTTCAGAACAAATGCATAGAAAAGCAGAATTGAGAAAACAACAACACAGCAAATGCCACATCTACAAAAAAAAACTAGCTGCTACAATAAGATTGTACAGACTGACCGCAAACAATGCCATGTTAATGTAGCAACCATGGTGCATTGGTACTGTATATCTGCAAAATTGCCATTTTCCTGCAAGGAAGAACAGGTGAGACCACAAAATAGACAAAGTCATAAAAAAATGAAGTGCTTAAGTAGAGATAAAAACAATCTCTCCGCTCTTGGGGCATAGGGGAGATAAGGCACAAGATATCCTGACAGTCTAACTCTGTTTTTTTCACAGATGTAACTTTGAATAAGCAAGTTGCTGAGAAGTGTAAAGAAAGCTGAGGGTGAAGGAACATTCCTGGAGTCCAGACCTATTTTTTCAAGGGAGGGCAACTCATCTCAAACCCACTCAATCCTAGCATTTAAATACAGTTTGCTTATAACAACAGCACCTCCATTTTCTCTTGATTTAATTTCAACTTGTCTCCTTCCCCACTTGAAATTAAATGTTAAGCAATAAAGTTATGATAGTCCACTCCAGAACTCTAGATGCTACTCTCCAGACGTTTCCTCTTGACACCAAATTATTTTCCCCAATAGGTAAAAATAATGGAGCTTTGTGGGACCTCATACCTCAGATGCCTCCTAGTACTCCAACTTTCTGGAGATAATTTAACAAGAAGGATCAGAGATGCAATAAAGAAAGCCCCGGAAATATTCCCATCACCATGTAGCTTAGAAGAGAAAATCTTGATACAGTAGTATTGAAATAAAAAAGGAGCAGAATATGATGTGATAGCATTTCACTTTAGGTCTTAAACATCTCATGTTTAATTTTAGTCTCTCTTCCAAACAGATGAAAGGGGGAAGCCTGAAGACTATAAAGGACCAGGTGTAAATTCATTGGAAAGGACTGAGAGTGGAAAAGGGATATTGCAAAATCGGAGGAAACTAAAGGTGACTGCAGAAAACTGGCTGAATAATTGGAAGGAAAAATCATCTATTTTTCAGTACAGAGAAAATTGCAGCTTCAATATCCAGCCTCACAAAGAAAAAAGAAGCTGTTTAAAGAGTGGGAAAGCATTCAGCAATAAATCACTCATCTATGAATGTAGCAGGACCCACTCTAAAGAGAATCAGGTTGAATGCAGGGAACATGGAAAAAAAGACTTGAGTCTATGTCTTACTTTACATCAAAGGATTGAGACACCAAAATCACATAAATATTCAGACAGTGGGAAAAGCTTTAACGACAGCAGTACTTTTAACACCCAGAAAACAACTCAGAGAGTGGAGAAGTCATATAAATGTACAGAGTGCAGAAAGAGTTTCTCTACAAGCAATGATCTTACTTTGCATAAAAAGTCCCACGCAGGAAAGAAATATAAAAGGATGGAATGTGGAAGGAGGTTCAGTATTGGTTTTACTTCTCATAAAAGGATCCACAAAGGGGAGAAGCCATATAGATGTATAGACTGTGGAAAGAGCTTCACCACAAGTGGTTCCCTTACCGCCCATAAAAGGATCCACATGGGGGAAAAACCACATAAGTGCATGCAATGCGGGAAGAGTTTCAGCCAAAGTACTTCCCTTACTTCCCATGAAAGGATGCATACAGGAATAAAACCGTATCAATGCATGGATTGTGGAAAAAAATTCAGTCAAAGCAGTGATCTCATTTCTCATAAAAGGATCCATACAGGGGAAAAACCGTTTAAATGTATGGAGTGTGGAAAAAGCTTTACAATGAGACGTGGTCTTACTTCCCATGAAAGGATCCACACAGGGGAGAAACCATATCAATGCCCAGATTGTGAAAAGTGCTTTATAAGTAGGAGTGATCTTACTTCCCATAAAAGGATCCACACAGGCGAGAAGCCGTATCAATGCACGGAGTGTGGAAAAAGCTTCAGTTGGAGCAATAACCTTACTAGTCATCAAAGGATCCATACAGGTGAAAAACCATATAAATGCATGGAATGTGGGAAGAGTTTCAGCCAGAGCACGTCCCTTACTTCCCATGAAAGGATCCATACAGGGATGAAACCATATCAGTGCATGGATTGTGGAAAGAGCTTCAGTACAAGCAGTGAACTCATTTCCCATAAAAGGATCCACACAGGGGAGAAACCGTATAAATGCACAGCATGTGGAAAGAGCTTCCGCAAGAGTACTGATCTTATTTCTCATGAAAGGATCCACACAGGAGAGAAGCCATATAGATGTACAGAGTGTGGAAAGTGCTTCAGCCAACACAGAAATCTTTCCTGCCATAAAAGGATCCACACAGGGGAGAAGCCATACAAATGCACAGACTGTGGAAAGAGCTTCACCACCAGCGGTTCCCTTACTGCCCATAAAAGGATCCACACGGGGGAAAAACCATATAAATGCACGGAATGCGGCAAGAGTTTCAGCCAAAGTGCTTCCCTTAGTTCCCATGAAAGGATCCATACTGGGATGAAACCGTATCAGTGCATGGATTGTGGAAAGAAATTTAGTAAAAGCAGTCATCTTAGCTCTCATAAGAAGATCCACTCAGGAGAGAAGCTGTATAAGTGCACAGAGTGTGAAAAGAGCTTTTATACAAGCAGTTCCCTGATATCACATAAGAGGATTCACTCTGGTGAGAAGCCATATCATTGCACGGACTGTGGAAAGAGTTTCAATACAAGCAGTTCCCTTAGTTCACATAGGAGGATCCACACGGGAGAGAAACCATATGAGTGCCAGGAGTGTGGAAAGAGTTTCAGTCACAATAGTTCCCTCTCTTTTCATAAAAGGATCCATACAAAGAAGAACCCACCTGCCTGTATATAATATGGGAGGAACTTCTTTCAGAGTAGTGAAGTTCTGATAAAAGGAGCTACATGGAGAAAAGGCTGTGTACATGCATGGAATATGGAAAAAACTTAAGTGATTCCATTTCTGATCAGCATGCCATAATTAAAAGAGAATGGATTATTTAATTAGAAAAAAATGAGTTAGAGTGAAAGAAGGAGAAGAGAAGAAGTAGAATGGATGGACCAGTTAAAAAAGATTATAGGAAACTTTGGAAGAGCTCCACGTTATTAAAAGGGGAAAGCCAACATCTAATCTGTGTAGTAGGTACAATATAAATCAACTATATACAGCCAAATCTGCAGTTAGATATTAGGAATACCTAGATTTTTATTAAATCGCTTGACAATCCATTCCTCGTTGGGACATCATTTGAGAATGTGGTGACGCAGTGGTTAGAATGTAGCATTACAGTTCGATTCTAACCACCTCAAGAATGTCTGAGCCTTCCTTTCTTCCTTCCAAGGTCAGTAAAATGAGGATCCAGATTGTTGGGGGCAATATGCTGACTCTAAACTACTTAGAGAGTGCTGTAAAGCATGGTGAAGTGGCATATAAGTCTAAGTGCTATTGCTAAAGCTATTGCCTTACCTAGTGCTTTTTTTCTTAAAAAAAAAAAAAGGTGCTGGAACTCACACACGTCATACAATCCGCCTTGCCTACCCTACAAGGTTCCATCCCAAAAAGGTGCCGGAACTCCGTTCTGGGCGTTCTATGAGAAAAAAAGCCTTACCTAAAGTGGTAAGCCTGGCCTTACCTAAGCAGGGAAACTGAATGACTAGTGATGAGCAAAAAAGCTGTGGGAACAGGAGTGAACTCCAACTTTCTCCTGGCCTCCCCATTGAGTTTCCTTGTGGTAATCTGGTAAGGAGCATTGAAAATCTCCCCTTTCCCTTCTCTTCCCAACAGGCAGGTAAGTGGCTGCTGCTGAGTGTGGGAGAGTGCAAGGGATTGTGAGAGTAGGTGGGAAACTGTCCCAGCAGTACACCAGCAGTCAGTAGCAATGAGGCAGTTATAATTTCCCCAAATTTCATTCCCTCAGGAGTCACTTGTCCCAGAATGGATACATTCTGTAAATTAGGCCATAAACTGCCTTGAGGTAAGGTGGGCAGCCTATAAATTTTATAAACAAATAAATTTTAGGTGCCATCGGTTCAACTGAGTATCCCTGTTTACCCAGGTATGGTGGTGGTAATAATAATAATAATAATAATAATAATAATAATAATAATAATAATAATAATAATAATACAAAGACCTACAAATAGAAATAGAAAGACTGTGGCAAAAGCAAGCAAGGGTAGTACCAATCGTAATAGGCTCCTTGGGTGCAATCCCAAAACAACTGGAGCACCACTTGAACACCATTGGCATTGACAAATTCGCTATTAGTCAATTGCAAAAGACGGCCTTACTAGGAACTGCTTCCATCCTGCGACGATATCTGTAATACCATCAAACATCCACATCTGCCTATCCCAGGTCCTGGGTAAGGACTCGATAGGTAGACAAAATGCCAAATCCAGTCTGATTAATCATCGCACAGTCTGGCTGACTGTGCGATGATTAATAATAATAATAATAATAATAATAATAATAATAATAATAATAATAATAATAAAGTTGGAAAGGACCTTGGAGGTCATCTAGTCCAACCCCCTGCTCAGGCAGGAAACCCTATACCATTTCAGACAAATGGCTGTCCAGTCTCTTCTTAAAAACTTCCAGTGTTGGAGCATTCACCACTTCTGGAGGCAGGTTGTTCCACTGGTTAATTGTTCTGTCAGGAAGTTTTCCTTAGTTTCCCATTGATTAGTTTCCATCCGTTGCTTCTTGTCCTGCCTTCAGGTGCCTTGGAAAATAGCTTGACTCCCTCTTCTTTGTGGCAGCCCCTGAGATATTGGAATACTGCTATCATGTCCCCCCTCGTCCTTCTCTTCATTAAACCAAACATACCCAATTCCAGCAGCCTTTCCTTATATGCTTTGGCCTCCAGTCCCTTAATCATCTTTGTTGCTCTTCTCTGTACTCTTTCTAGAGTCTCAACATCTTTTTTATATTGTGGTGACCAAAACTGGATGCAGTATTCCAAGTGTGGCCTTACCAAGGCATTGTAAAGTGGTATTAATACTTCACGTGATCTTGATTCTATCCCTCTATTAATGCAGCTCAGCACTGTGTTGGCCTTTTTGGCAGCTGCAGCACACTGCTGGCTCATATTTAAGTGATTGTCCACTAGGACTCTGAGGTCCGTCTCACAGTTACTACCTGTAAGGACCCACCCCACTTTGCATCTTAAGAAGACAGAACTCAATGAAACCTCTCTCTAGGTTTTTTTTATAAATCTTTCCATTTCCTCCTTCTCCTTTGGGCTCATGGAGTATAATCTGGGCTTCGGGAGTTTTGCCCCAGGCTTGAATTCAATGGTACAGTCTGTGGGTCGGTGGGGGGGGGGAGCTCATTCGCCCTTTCCTCACTGAAGACTTCAGCAAGGTCTCTATATTCCTCTGGTATTTCTGTTAGTCCTTTTTCCTCTCCTATGGATGCTTTTTCTATTCTTGATTCTGGTAGCCTCCCTTGGGGTTTTAAGTCCATAGGGTCCCCCTTCGGAAATTTGATTTCTGTCGTCCTCCAATTTACCCAGGGGTTCCATTTTTTTCAACCATTCCATCCCTAGAATCATTGGGCATAACATGCCTGGGGTCACCACAAACATTATGTCCTCTTCATGTTTGCCCAGGGAGAGGTGTATTGGTAGAGTGGCTAGGGTAGCTGGCACCCCCCCTGCTATGGATCCATCTAACTGGCCAAATGAGATTGGTTGTTCCAGTCTCCTGGATGGGATGCCCAGGTTCCCCATTAGTGTTGGGCTAATGAGGCAGCGGGTGCAGCCAGAGTCTATTAAGGCTTTCACCTTCACAGCTTCGGGCATGGGGGGGATTAATATAATCACTGTTTTGAAGATGGGTGTGATGCATCCACTTACCAGGGGTTCGCCCTCCGAGCTGTCATCTGAGGCATCCACCGGCCCTGTGGTGTAGGCTGGAGTTCTTTCCCTTTGGTGAGCAGAAGTGGGGGTTTCTGCAATTTCCATCATTCTCATGGCCATTTCTTTTGGCTTAGCTGAAGACTTTCCGGATTTGTTGATTGGGGATCTGTCTGGGTTGTGCTGGGGGGCCTTTGAGCGGCATTCTACAGCTCGATGCCCTTCTCTTCCGCACTTGAAACACCCCATTTGCTTCTTGGCTGTAGCTGATGATTTCACCGGCTCGTGTGTCAGCTCAGGCAGGGGGCGGCTCCATTGTTTTCCTCGGCGGTGCCTCTTCAATATGTCGATCTCTGCTTCCTCTGCCAAGACGTACCATTCCTCAAGTCGGTGTGGGTCCCCTTGGGGCAGGCAAGCGTCATATAGATCATAGTTTAGTCCATCTTTGAAATGGCTAAGGAGGATGTCTTCTGGCCAATTCAGTTTGCTGGCAATGGCCCGGAATTCTTGTGTATATTCAGCCACCAGGCGTTTGCCTTGCCTCATCGTTTTTATCCTTTCATGGGCTATGCGATCAGCCAGGGGGTCTTCAAATCGTCTTCTCAGAGAGGACATGAAACGGTTGAAGTTACTGAGTTCTGGGGCATTGGAGTCATTCAAGTTCACCACCCAATCTGCAGCCGGTCCATCCAGGGCAGATTGCACAATCCGGATGCGGGCTTTGTCACTGGGAATGTCCTGCCCGTATTCCTCCATGTAGTTGAGGACTTGGGTTAGGAAAAACCCCAAGCATGTTGGCTCCCCTTTGAATTTCACCTCCAACGGTGGACGTCTTGGAATGGATCGGTGCCTCCGTTGTTGGTGGTAGTGTCTTCCATCCAGATTGCCATCTGTGGTCCGGTAGGGGGTGGGGGCTACTGGATCAGTAGATGTCCCCGGGGTTGCAGGTTCCACGTCCCCCTCGGTGTCTCTCCCTTTGCGGCTCCAGGAGCTGGGGCGGCCATAGGGCTCAGGATTCTCCCCTCCTAGGGAGCTAAGAGTTCTCTTCATCAGGTCAATAGCTTTCTCTAGGATCCAGTCTGAGTACGGTGCCCAGCTTCCGCCCTCTTCACTTGCGTGCAGGGATTTCTCCATCTCCTGCTTCCATTCTGGTTGCTTGGTCCCCCGTCTCAGGGTCACCTTTCTTGATTCCTTTCCCCACTCACTTTTCTTTCCAACGCCCATCGACCAGCGAGGCTTGTGGTCCTGTGTCTCCACCACTTCTTCTCCTGAGGAATCTGGCCTCTCGGATCCCAACCTCTGGCAAGGTTCCAACTGGGTCAGCGGCTCTCTTTCCAGGGAGTTTTCCCCCTCTCTTGCTCCATTTTCTGACATGGTCAATTTTTGCAAAATCCCCTGGCAAGGGTCTCCCTTCCAGGTGGATTAATTTTGCAAGTCCTGTCTAATGTAAGGACCCACCCCACTTTGCATCTTAAGAAGACAGAACTCTTGAAATAATTCTTTCAACAGGAATCCTTTATTAAGAAGAAGTGGTTGCAGGCGTGCTAGACAGGACTTGGGGTCCAAGCTCTCCCATTCAAGGTTTTTAAGGGGTTCCCCAGCAGTCCCACCCAATCACCCCCCCTTCCAGTGATAGTTTCAGGCATCACAATTCCACCCCTTTGTTCCTTTCTTCCGTCTGGATGGAGACTTCAGATAAACTACATGAAAGGTAAATAGCTCTCTTTGTTATGGTAAGGTTCTTTGGTGCTAGTTACATTCAAACTCTTTGAGGTTGCAATAAACACATTCAATTCCTTAGAAGTATACTGAAGGAAGTGAGGGCCATAAAGCCCCTTTGTTCTCCCCCTTCTCTCCCTCTTATGGCAGAATCCAGAGAAGGCAGAATTGGGGTTTTCTATATTTGATGATTAAAGATGAAATATAATTGGATTCTGACATCACCTTTGAGCAAGGTACCCCCCCTATACTATACCTGTACATCTCATGATGAGATCTAATAGTATATAGATTATCCAAGTGGAAAGTGACTTTTTTTCCTTCATTATCTGTGAGTTGAGTTGGGGATGCTGACTTTCAGTGTATTTGGGAGCAGACATCTATGTTGAATATAACTGGGCTATAAGCATAAATGACTATATAGCTGTGAATGAGTATTAGCCAGCCCTTAATCCTGATCCTAAATCTGGGTTTGGAGGATTGTGGTTTATCCTTGCTTGCCTGTAGAAATTTTAACTGTTTTTCTAAGGGCTAAAGTGGGCCTTTTCTCCCTTCAATTCACTTTCCCCTCCTCAATTCATTTTTCCTTCCTCAATTCACTCTTCTTCTGGATCATACACCTTTGGTTCTTTTCTCTCTCTATTTCCAGCAAAATTACCCCTTCCCCAATCTCTCATGTCTCTGTTGTTTCAGCTGAAGATGTAAAGGGCATGTTTGGATGTGAGATATAATGGTGCATGTAAATAAAAATTAATTTGCTTCCTTATTTTAATGGCAATGACATTTTATTATATTAAATTTTATTTACCTTTTTTGCTCTGGGCCTATCTTATTTGGAGTATGGTTTTTGACAATGGTACATATGCACACATACAGATTTGAACACATAGAGATGCTTGATCTGGTTCCTGGGCATCTGCTTTCTGGCCAGAAATAAATATTTTGTTATATCCATCCTTGATATTTTTTTTTAATGAACACTGCATAATCAGGCATGATTCTCAGGCTTTTTTGGACAACAAAATCTCTTCCCCTTATTTCCTGATCAGGGTCGAACCATTTGCTAAATGTTCAACTATTCTCAGGCATGGTTTACTTCCATCATATATTGGGCCTTCCCTGATCAGCATAAAGCTGGTTTTCCAAATTGTGTTTATTGTTGCCTCTCGTCTTTCAATTATAGTGCAGCATTCCTGAGGATGCTTAATAATCTAAACCACTTGTAATTTTTGCACTCACTATTGCTGTCTCTTCCTTTGTATAGAACAGTAATCACATTGTTGGGGACAAACGCGTTGTAAAGATCACCACTGGAACTGGAATCTCCTAAAAATATTGGAAAACATGCATTGTTATAAAACTTTACAACATAGGTCTCCGTCCAATATACGTGTCACAATTATGATGTTCTGACCATTTCACCAGGAACAGATCCTTACTAATTCCTTTGCCCTACAGTCATGGACCAAAGTTTTTTTTAAGTAGCATAGATTTGCCAGAGTAGTCCGGCAGCAAGATAGGCAGCAAATTTAATGAATAAATTTGCAGCTATCAAAATTAAAATGGCCATTGTCTCTTTGTTTACCTCCAGATGATCAAAATCCAAAGTCCTAAGAGCTGAAGGCTATACCTGTGACTTAATAGATGTGGATGAGATATTAATAAATGAATAAAATATATATAAAATGTATCCATAGATGGAGTGTCAAAAATACTTGTGTCACCTTGCGATAGGTATAGCTAGTCCTCGACTTATGACAATTGAGCCCAGAATTTGTTGTTAAGTGAGACATTTGTTCAGTGAGTTTTGGCCCATCTTATGATCTTTCTTGCCACAGTTGTTAAATGAATCACTGCAGTTGATAAGTTACTAACCCAGTTGTTAAGCAAATCTGGTTACCACATTGACTTTGCTTGTCAGAAGGTCGCAAAAAGTGATCACATGACCCTGGGACACAGCAACAGTCATAAATATGAACCAGTTGTCAAGCATCTGAACTTTGATCACATGATTGTGGGGATGCTGCAAAGGTCATAACTCTGAAAAATGGTTATGTCACTTTTTTCAGTGCCATTGTAACTTTGAACAGTCACTAAATGAACTGTTGTAAGTCGAGGACTACCTGTATTTCACATAAAGGAGAAACTTTGGAAATGGTGGAATGAAATCTAAGGATTCTTAAACATGCATTCTGAGTACAGAAAGAACTTTAAGCTTTACGTCTCACAAAATTGGTACTGCTTGTGCCTTTTTTTAAAGCAAAGGTTCCATTTGTAAATATTTTTTCTTCAATCAGTTCTGTCCCTTTATTTCCTCAAGTACTTCTTACTACCTCAGGAGACCCTTTAATCTTTCATTTTTTGTATTTTGTTTCTTAACTCTTCAAGAACCACCTATTTCTCATCCCATTTATTTATATAAAAATAGCTTCATATTTTTCCTTTAATACGTAGTTGCCATCTCCCTTGCACACTTGGCCTTTTTGAAAGGTTCCCCTCAGCCTTCTAAATTCCCACATACTTCTGCCATTTCTGAGGTAATATTTTTCTAGAACTGAATGTCTTTTGATCAGTATTCCCGCTTGGAATATGAATATTTTTTCTTCAATCGGTTCTGTCCCTTTTATTTCCTCAGGTACTTCTTACTATCTCAGGAGATCCTTTAGCTTTCATTATTTGTAATTTTGTATTTTTCAGAATTATTTGTTTCCTGTGAGGAATAAAAATTCAACTCCAAAGGTGTTGGAAAACAAAACAAGTTTTATTAAAGCTTTTGCAAAATCTGGTGGATCTCTTGGTAATTACAAATCTCAGAGATCACACTTGAATCAATTTTAGGATAGATTTTTAAACCCTATCCTGTGCATTACACTACATCCTTCCTCTTCAAACCCAGTTGATAGGTCTGAATTAGTCACAGGACCAAACCCAATTATTAGATCAAAAGCCCCTTTGTTCCTGTCTTATCTCCCCTTCCTTGTCTGTAGTATGATTTGTAACATTCTAAGGGTGTAATTTTCCTACAAGGTGAGCCTGTCAACCTAGATAATTGCAAGTAAAAAAGATTTATATCTTCACTTGTTTATCTATAAGAATGCCTGCTTTTCATCTAGAAGCTGTGTGTGTAAGAGTTCTCAGTTCGTGCTTCAGTTAAACATGGCTACACTTTGGCTATAGGATTATACTTTAAAATACTAACTCTAGGCAGTTTTATAAAGAATAAACCTTATATAAATTGAATATGTTATTCATAAACTATATGCTATTCTACAATAGTGTGCACTATTCTAAAACTATGCTTTGAGTCATTGTACATAGTTCCTCTCTATTCCTCCAGCTTATTATATCTTTCCTAAAGCACCTTAGCTAAGTGCCTCTATATACCTATTCCTTTAAGCAGAAGTGGAAAATTACATGTACTTTTATTGTATACCTCACATTTCCTAACTCTTCAAGAACTGTTTTCTCTTCCCATTTATTCATATTAAAATAGCTTCATATTTCTCCTTTAACATGTAGCTGCCATCTCCCTCACGCACTTTACCTTTTTAAAAGGTTCCCCTCGGCCTTCTACGTTTCCACATACTTCTGCCATTTCTGAGGTAATTTTTTTTCTAGAACTTGGAATACTAGTATTTTCAATATTAACTTTTTTTTTCCCCCTTCAGGATCTCCATTTTTGCTCTTCCACAGCTTCTCCCCATGCGCCACTTTTACCACCCCAAATCAGGGGCTGTTTCTCAAAAAAAAAAGGTATCTTCCAGCTGGAGAGTCCTCCCTTGAAAAAGGACATTGGGGCAGGATCCCCCACCACTACCCTCACTACTTCTTAGAGAATTTACAGAATAACTTGAGTTGGAAGGGACTCTGGAGATCATCTAATTCAGCCCCCTGCTCGAGCAAATGGCTGCCCAGTCTATTCTAGAAAGCTTCCAGTCGCTCCTCGGTCTCTTCTTTCTCCCTCAGTTGCTCCTCAGACAGGCGGGAACTCCTAGCCACGCCCCTTCCAACGGGTCTTCCTCGCGGACAGGCGGCAACTCCTAGCCACGCCCCTTCCAACGGGTCTTCTTCGCGGACAGGCGGCAACTCGTAGCCACGCCCCTTCCAACGGGTCTTCCTCGCGGACAGGGGGGGAGCTCTTAGCCCCGCCCCTTCCAACGGGTGTTCCTCGCGGACAGGCGGGAGCTCTTAGCCCCGCCCCTTCCAACGGGTTTTTCCCAAGGTTCTCAAGAGGGGAATTCCCTGGGGGGAATCCGCCAGGACAGTGAAGGAGAGGCCGGAAGGGCCACCCTCTCCTCAATATGGCCTTTCTGGGGCGAAGCACCCGCTCCCTTTAATCCTTGGAGAGAACGGGAGTGAACGAGGACGCCTAGAATGCCTTGGATGTCCGCGCGCGTGCGGCGCTGCGAAGAAGGCGGAGCTTGGCTCGTCCACCTGCATCCTCCAATATATGCTAATCTGCCAATGGATAATGTCTCCAAAGACTGTGAAATCTTGAGTTTTGATCGGGACCACTGAAATTTTGCAACTGTGTCCTCTCCCATACTGTCAGAATAAGGACAAACGGAGAGGCGGAATAACAGAATAAGTTGGGAGGGACCTTGGAGGTCATCTAGTCCAACCCCCTGCTCAGGCAGGAAACCCTATGCCATTTCAGACAAATGGCTGTCCAGTCTCTTCTTAAAAACTTCCAGCGTTGGAGCACTCACAGCTTCTGGAGGTAGGTTGTTCCACTAGTTGTTCTAAGTGTCAGGAAGTTTCTCCTTAGTTCTAGGTTGCTTCTCTCCTTCATTAGTTTCCATCCGTTGCTTCTTGTCCTGCTTTCAAGTGCTTTGGAGAAGAGCTTGACTCCCTCTTCTTAGACCATGAGCTCTAATCCCTTTTTATGCACAGAAGCTGGTTAGATGACTTTGAACTCTCAGTCTGACCCACCTCGCAGGGCTGACATTCTTTGGAAAGCAAGAGTACAAAGGGAGAGACGATGAGCTCTAATCCCCATTTATGCACAGGAGCTGGTTAGATGGCTTTGAGCCAGTTATTCTGCTCAGTCTGACCCACCTTGCAGGGCTAATGTTCTCTGGAAAACGAGGGACCCACCTTGCAGGGCTGGTGTTCTTTGGAAAACGGGGGACCCACCTTGCAGGGCTGGTGTTCTTTGGACTTTTGGATTCAAACAGGAGATTAGCCATAAAAAGGGAAAGTGGGAGGTTTTTTAAAAACAACAGGCTTTCTTTGCAAAAAAAAAAAAGGTTTCCGTTGGGAAAGTGATTATTTTCTCAACTGTGGCTTGGGAAATCGGAACAATCTCAACATAGTTTAGAAGATTATTGTTGTTGAGTTGGAAAGGATCTTGGAGATCTTCTAGTCCAAAGATGATCACTTTCCCAACGGAAACCTCTTTTTTGCAAAGAAAACCTGTTTATTATTTTTAAAAAATCCCTCGCTTTCCCTTTTTTATGGCTGCCTCCTGTTTGAATCCCAAAGTCCAAAGTTTGCCCCTTCAAACCCCTTAACTCCCCCACACACACACTTTGCTTCCTAGGATTAAAACAGGATCCTCCAGGGGGCGCTCTCTTGCCAAAAGCTTTTAGGCCAGTGGGAAGGAATCCATAGGATCTGGGAGGATCTGGAAGAGGAGGAGGAGGGAAGAGGGAGGGACCTAAATAGGGAAAAGCAATCTCTGCTTCCACTTTAAATCCCTGACCGCGGTCTTTCCGTGGAAGGAGGGAGGTGCAGCTTGCTGGGAAGGCAACTGGCGTTGGAGCAGCTGTGAGGAAGGCGTTGCACGAATCCTGCCCTGCGCGCCTCTTCTTGGAGGACGGAGTCCCAGGCCCAGGGGCAGAGTAGGGTAAGAAGCTTCCACTCTCCTCTCCCTTCAGACACTTCTGGTAACGAGATGGGGAAAGTGCTTGGAAATTATGACTTTTAAATGCTGCTTTTAGGCATCCCTCCTAAGATTGTTCCTGTAGGCACCACTCTTTCTCCCTGGAGTTGTGGAGTTCCCCACACACACACCGCCAACCACTGGAAGTTTTTCCAAAAGAGACCGGACAACCATTTTGACCAGGATAGTATAAAGCAGTGTTTCTCAACCTTGACAATTTTAAGGCATGTGGACTTCAACTCCCAGAATTCCACAGCCAGCAGCCTTGAGCAGAGGGGGTTGGACTAGAAGACCTTAGGGGTTCCCTAGGATTCTGTGTTCTGTGATAGTTTCCCATGGGATTTTTTTCCCAGTGCTGTGTCAGGTAGCCCTTGATTGAAATGGCCGCTGGCCACTTTCTCCTACAACACAGCTTGCCTCCCGGACTTGTAGCTGCCCCAGGTACTGGAAGTTTTTCAGAAATAGACCCGGATCACCATTTGACCTATAAGGCCTTCTGCCTTGCGCAGAGTTGGGGTTGGGCTAGAAGACCTTGGAGGTCCCTCCCAGCCTTAGGATTCTATGTTCTAGGATCTTTTCCCATGGGTTTTATATTAATGATGATGATGATGAGAATAATAATAATAATAACAATAGTAATAAAGTTGGAAGAGGTCTTGGAGATCATCTAGTCCAACCCCCTGCTCAGACAGGAAATCCTATACCATTTCGGACAAATGGCTGTCCCTGGTGCTTTAGTCAGGTCCAGAAGCCTTTGATTGAAATGGCTGCTGAATACCCTGGAGGAATTCCTGCTTTGCCCCTTTATTTCTTTGCTCATGCCAGACTGCCATTAACCCTGGGGGAAAGGGGGCGGGGAGGGAGCCATCAAGGTTGAGAGAGCCCAGGCCACAAGCAAGGAAATGGAATGTGGACCCATGGCCAAGCCAGCCAATCCAATTGGACATCAGGGAGATAATTGGGGGGGGAGGGCTTGAGAGAGGGGAAAGTAAGTGGGCAATCTTAGCCTGCAAACCTCATATCTGTTTTTTTTCTCCTTTCTCGTAACCACTCGTCTTTAGTAAAAGTAAAAGGTCCAATCAGTCAATTTCAACTTCTTGCGGAGGTGGGGGGGGGGAAGTTCTTGCAAAGTTGGAATTGATTGATTGAACTTTTTAGTCCCACCCAGTCTGCCATTACCACTGCAGCTACACCCACCCAATGGGCCACACCCATCCTGCCCTCGACAATGCGTAAGTGGGTTTTGGGTTGCAGTTTGGGTACTCAGTCTTTAAACGCTTCGCCATCACTGGTCTAGGCTCTTCTTAAAAATCTCCAGTGGTGGAGCACCCAAAATTTCTGGGAACAAGTTGTTCCACTGATTAATTGTCCTCCCTGTCAGGAAGTTTCTCCTTAATTCCAGGTTGCTTCTCTCTTTGATCAGTTTCCAACCACTGTTTCTTCTCCTGCCCTACTGATAACAAAACAAAATGGGTTTTGTTATCAGTAAAAAGAGCAGCAGGTCCATTTTGTACAGAGGTGGTTCAGGAAAGTTGCCCCATTCATGCATCTCGCTCAAGGCTCCATTTCAGCTGACGACGCCCCCCCCCCGTCCCGATTGAATTTGCCCGCATTTCTTCATGGGTTCCTTTTTGTTTTTCCATGTCCTTGTTTTTTATATCGCCACTCAAGAAAGATTCATTCATCAAGGAGAGAAGCAAGCTGGAATTAAGAAGAAATCTCCTAACGGGGAGGACAGTTAACCAGTGGAACATCTTTGCCTTCAGACGTTGTGGTGCTTCATCACCGGAGCTTTTAAGGAAAAAAAACTGGACGGCCCCCTTGTCTGAAATGGCACTATAGGGTCTCCTGCTTGAGCTGGGGGTTGGACTGGAAGACCTCCAGAGGTCTCTTCCAGCTCTCTAGTCTGACTCCAAAGTGCTGGGGGCAGTGTGTATTTGAAAAGAAATCATCCATTTCCTATAAGCCAGTGGTTCTCAACCTGTGGGTCGGGACCCCATTTGGGGTCGAACGACCGTTTCACAGGGGTCTCCAAACAACGCACTCCGCCATTTTTCTCCCCCTTTTCCTTAGCTGTGCTACTCCCTTTTATTCTATTGACTTTTGAAAGCCAATAGAAGAGACTCTCTTGAATAGAGTCTAATTCTATTGGCTTTCAAAAGCCAATAGGAATTGTCCAGGCTGTCTCTGCCCTGCTGAGCCCGCCAAAAGTCCCCTTCTGCAAGCGGTGCTGCACCAGTTGAGTAGTCCTCGACTTACGACCGGTTGAGTAGTCCTCAACTTACGAGCAGTTGGGGGTCGCGGCATTAAAAAGATTGAGAACCACTGCTGTAGGCTATTCCAAAGGGCAAGTGCCACCTGTGGAAAAAAAAGAGTTTTTCTTCCCTGATTATCTGACAGGGAGGGTGAACACTCAATAGAACTCCCTGAGATGGGATCTGCTTGAGGCCTCCAGGTCAAGCTCTGTGATGCTTCAGTGCATACATTCATGGCTGTGAGGCCTGCCTTTGAATCCAATCCCTGGTCCTTCCACACCTTTCAGTTTTCTCCTCACCCAGAGTCAGCTTCTGTGTGTTGTTGCTGTGGCTGCAAAGCACTCAGATAAACTGATTCTCTACTTAGCACAGAAATAGGTAAAAATCGCCCTTCCGCACTGCAGGTTCAAGAATGTCGCTAGGATGTTTGATCGCAAATTATTGCTGTTTCCCCCCCCCCACTGGTAAATAGTCCTCGACTTACGGCCACAATTGGGCCCAACATTTCTGTTGCTAGGGGAGACATTTGTTAAGTGAGGTTTGCCCCGTTTTTATGACCTTTCTTGCCACCGTTCTTAAATGAATCGCTGCAGTTAATACGTTAACTGCACTTAACGGTGGTTAAGTGATTGTCATAAGTTCACGGAAAGGGGATCACATGACCCTTTCAGGGTCATCAATATGAACCAGTTTGCCAAGCATTTGAATTTGGATCACACGCACTCGTCGTCTTAAAAGGTTCGCCATCACTGACCTAGAGGCTTTGCACTTTGTTTATTCCTTTGGAAAGATTCTCCAAAGAAGATGTTTATTTGCCCTGCTTGGAAATTTTTGCTGATGGCTTTGTTCATTATGAACAAAACTTGCATATAATTTACTGAATTTTTCATTAATAGGAATGTTCATAGAATGTTCTCTTTCTGTTTTAGGAGTTGCCACGGATATAGCTGTGTTTTTCTCCATGGAGGAAGGGGCCCTGGTGGATGCTGAGGAAAAAGCCCTGCACCAAGAGGTCATGCTGGAAAACGCAAAGAATATGGCCTCCTTAGGTAAGAGATTCTGTTAAGATGTTTATATTTATATTTGTAAAATTATTAAGATGTTTATATTTATAATAATAATAATAAAGTTGGAATGGACCTTGGAGGTCATCTAGTCCAACCCCCTGCTCAGGATGGAAACCCTACACCATTTCAGACAAATGGCTGTCCAGTCTCTTCTTAAAAAACTTCCAGTGTTGGAGCATTCACTGCTTCTGGAGGCAAGTTGTTCCACTGGTTAATTGTTCTGTCAGGAAATTGTAAATATATATATATACATTGCTTACTGGTGTACACCGCTTAGAGAGTGCTTGCACTTAAAGCGGTATATAAGTCTCATAAATAAAATAAATTTCTCCTTAGTTCTAGGTTGCTTCTCTCCTTGATGAGTTTCCATCCATTGCTTCTTGTCCTGCCTTCAGGTACTTTGGAGAATAGCTTGACTCGCTCTTCTTTGTGGCAGTTCCTGAGATATTGGAACACTGCTATCATGTCCCCCCTCGTCCTTCTCTTCATTAAATTAGATATACCCAATTCCAGCAACCGTTCCTTATATGTTTTAGCCTCCAGTCCCCTAATCATCCTTGTTGCTCTTCTCTGTACTCTTTCTAGAATCTCAATATCTGTTTTACATTGTGGTGACCAAAACTGGATGCAGTATTCCAAGTGTGGCCTTACCAAGGCATTGTAAAGTGGCATTAACACTTTACGTGATCTTGATTCTATCCCTCTGTTAATGCAGCCTAGCACTGTGTTGGCCTTTTTGGCAGCTGCAGCCCACTGCTGGCTCATATTTAAGTGATTGTCCACTAGGAGTCCAAGATCCCTCTGACAGTTACTACTATTGAGCAAGGTACCCCCTATACTATAACTGTACATTTGGTTTTTCTTGCCTAAGTGTAGAACCTTATTTTTTTCATCATTGAATATCATTTTGTTAGATAGCGCCCAGTGTTCAAGTCTGTCCAGATCCTCCTGTATCTTCTGGAGTGTTGGCTATTCCTGCCAGCTTGGTGTCGTCTGTAAATTTGATGAGTTCCCTACCTATCCCCTCGTCCAAATCGTTGATGAAGATGTTAAAGAGCACTGGGCCCAGAACAGAGCCATGGGGCACCCCACTACACACTTCCCTCCATGTAGATGCAGTTCCATTGAGGACCACACGCTGAGTATGGCGGTCAACCAGCTACGAATCCATCTGGTAGTGATGCTGTCTTACCCACATTTTTCTATCTTATCAAGTAGTAGGTTGTGATCTACTTTATCAAATGTCTTACTGAAGTCCAAGTAAATTATATCCACAGCATTCCTCTGATCCACTAATTTTGTCAGTTGGTCAAAGAATGCAATAAGATTTCTCTGGCATGATCTGTTTTTGACAAACCCATGTTGGCTTTTAGTAATGACTTTGTTTGCCTCTACATGTTCGCTGATCCGTTGTTTGATTATCTTTTCCAGAATCTTCCCTAGGTATTGAGGTCAGGCTGATAGGTCTAGGTCTATAGTTTCCTGAATTTATTTTTTTCCCATTTTTGAAGATGGGAACTACGTCAGCTCTTTCCCAGTCCTCTGCTAGTTCCCCAGTGCTCCAGGATCTTTCAAAAATATAGTTCAGTGGTTCTGAGATCATATCTGCCAGTTCCTTGAGAGCCTTGGGGTGTGATCCATCTGTTCCTGGTGATTTGAACCTGTCTAGGCTGGACAGGTGTTCACTTACCATTTTCTTGCCTATCTTAACTTGTGTTTCTAATCTGTTTTTTTTTTAATGGTACTGTTTTTGATAGGTTGGACTGTTTTTTTCCCTTTGTGTAAAGACAGATGCAAAGAATGAGTTAAATAGTTCTGCTTGCTCCCTGTTTCTTGTTACCTTCTTGCCACTTTCCCCCAATGGACCAATCATTTCCTTCACTTTTTTCTTGTTTTTTACATGTTGAAAGAAGCTTTTTTTATTATTTTTGACTTTGGTTGCAAGCCTTAGTTCATTTTGAGCCTTAGCTTTCCTCACTTCATCTTGCAAGCACGTGCTATTTGCTGATATTCTGCCTTAGTTATGTGCCCCTCTTTCCACTTTTTATACTTGTCCTTTTTATCTTTCAATTTATCAGAGTTCTTTATACAGCCATGCTGGTTTCTGTTGAGAGCTGTTATTTTTCTTCTTTGTTGGTATTGTGCTAGACTGGGCTTTTAGGTTGAAAGGATCACACACCTTGGTTCCATTTTACATGAAAGCTGGGACATGACCGTTGAAGTAAAGACAGGGATAGAAAAAGCTCGAATGGCATTCTTCAAAATGAAAAAGGTCTTCTGCAGTCATGACATAAGCCTAAGATTGAAAATCAGGCTTCTCATATGCTATATTTTTTCTATCTTGCTCTATGGAGTAGAGAGCTGGTCTCTGACAGAAGGCCACCTGAAGAGAGTAGAAGCATTTGAAATGTGGATTTACGCATAAGCTGGGTTGACAAGATCAGAAATGAGGTGATAAGCCAGCTGGGAAAGCCAAGGGAAATCCTCAAAACAATTAAAAAACGAAAATTAGAATATTTTGGACATGTGATGCGACACTCAGAAAAATACGGTATATTCCATTTAATCCTCCAGGGAAAGATTGAAGGCAAACTGTCAGAATCCAATTATATTTCATCTTTAATTATCAAACATAGAAACTCCCAATTCTGCCTTCTCTGGATTCTGCCATAAGAGGGAGAAAAGGGGGAGAGCAAAGGGGTTTTATGGCCCTCACTTCCTTCAGCACACTTCAAAGGACTGAATGTGTGTTTATTGTGGCCTCTAAGCTTTAACATATCAAAGAAGAGTAATTGCCTTTCATGTAGTTATCTGAAGTCTCCATCCAGACGGAAGAAGAAAGGGGATGGAATTGTGATACTTGAAACTATCACTGGAAGGGGGGTTGATTGGGTGGGACTACTGGGGAACCCCTTAAAACCTTGAATGGGAGAGCTTGAACCCCAAGTCCTGTCTAGCATGCCTGCAACCATTTTCTCTTAATAAAGGATTCCTGTTGGAAGAATTATTCCAAGAGTTCTGTCTTCTTAAGATGCAAAGTGGGGTGGGTCCTCACATTAGACAGGACTTGCAAAATTAATCCACCTGGAAGGAAGACCCTTGCCGGGGGATTTTGCAAAAATTTACCATGTCAGACAATGGAGCAAGAGAGGGGGAAAACTCCCTGGAAAGAGAGCCGCTGACCCAGTTGGAACCTTGCCAGATGTTGGGATCCGAGAGGCCAGATTCCTCAGGAGAAGAAGTGGTGGAGACACAGGACCACAAGCCTCGCTGGTCGATGGGCGTTGGAAAGAAAAGTGAGTGGGGAAAGGAATCAAGAAAGGTGACCCTGAGACGGGGGACCAAGCAACCAGAATGGAAGCAGGAGATGGAGAAATCCCTGCACGCAAGTGAAGAGGGAGGAAAGCTGGGCACCGTACTCAGACTGGATCCTAGAGAAAGCTATTGACCTGATGAAGAGAACTCTCAGCTCCCTAGGAGAGGAGAATACTGAACCCTACGGCTGCCCCAGTTCCTGGAGCCGCAAAGGGAGAGACACCGAGGGGAACGTGGAACCTGCAACCCCAGGGACATCTACTGATCCAGGAGCTCCCACCCCCTACCGGACCACAGATGGCAATCTGGACGGAAGGCACTACCACCCACAACAGAGGCACCGATCCATTCCAAGACGTCCACCGTTGGAAGTGAAATTCAAAGGGGAGCCAACACGCTTGGGATTTTTCCTAACCCAAGTCCTCAGCTACATGGAGGAATATGGGCAGGACATTCCCAGCGACAAAGCCCGCATCCGGATCGTGCAATCTGCCCTGGATGGACCAGCTGCGGATTGGGTAGTGAACTTGCATGACTCCAATGCCCCAGAACTCAGTAACTTCAACCGTTTCATGTCCTCTTTGAGAAGACGATTTGAAGACCCCCTGGCTGATCGCAAAGCCCGTGAAAAAATAACAACGATGAGGCAGGGCAAACGCCCAGTGGCTGAGTATACACAAGAATTCCGGGCCATTGCCAGCAAACTGAATTGGCCAGAAGACATCCTCCTTGGCCATTTCAAAGACGGACTAAACTATGATCTATATGATGCTTGCCTGCCCCGAGGGGACCCACATCGACTTGAGGAATGGTACGTCTTGGCAGAGGAAGCAGAGATCGACATATTGAAGAGGCACCGCCGAGGAAAACAATGGAGCCGCCCCCCGCCTGAGCTGACACACCAACCGGTGAAATCATCGGATACAGCCAAGAAGCAAATGAGATGTTTCAAGTGCGGAAGAGAAGGGCATCGAGCTGTAGAATGCCGCTCAAAGGCCCCCCAGCACAACCCAGACAGATCCCCAATCAACAAACCCGGAAAGTATTCAGCTAAGCCAAAAGAAACGGCCATGAGAATGATGGAAATTGCAGAAACCCCCACCTCTGCTCACCAAAGGGAAAGGACTCCAGCCTACACCACAGGGCCGGTGGATGCCTCAGATGACAGCTCGGAGGGCGAACCCCTGGTAAGTGGATGCATCACACCCATCTTCAAAACAGTGACTATATTAATCCCCCCATGCCCGAAGCTGTGAAGGTGAAAGCCTTAATAGACTCTGGCTGTACCGCTGCCTGCCCAACACTAGTGGGGAATCTGGGCATCCCATCCAGGAGACTGGAACACCAATCTCATTTGGCCAGCTAGATGGATCCATCGCAGGGGGGGTGCCAGCTACCCTAGCCACTTTGCCAATACATCTCTCCCTGGGCAACCATGAAGAGGACTTAACGTTTGTGGTGACCCAGGTATGGAATTCTAGGGATGGAATGGTTGAAAAAATGGAACCCCTGGGTAAATTGGAGGACGACAGAAATCAAATTCCCGAAGGGGGACCCTATGGACTTAAAACCCCAAGGGAGGCTACCAGAATCAAGAATAGAAAAAGCATCCATAGGAGAGGAAAAAAGATTAACAGAAATACCAGAGGAATATAGGGACCTTGCTG